CATAGTTGAGTAATACATCATTCTGATGCCATCCTATGTGTCTCTTCAATGATCTAATTCAATATCTGGTGCAAAGTCAGATTTTTTTGCCATTCCGAAATAAATAAAACGAATTTTGGGGTATTTAATTATTGGGGCTAGTTTTATATCTTTCCGACGGTTTTTAGTTGGTCGAGCAATGCATCATTTTAAAGCTTTCCTGAATATCTGGGACAACGACAAATTTTTTTGAGATTCCGAAATAAATTAAACCAATTTTAGAGCATGTCATGATTGAGGGAGTTTTTTATCTTTCCAAAAGTTTTAAGGTGGTTGAGCAATACAACATTTTCACTCTTCAATGATCTAATTCAATATCTGAGACGTCAGATTTTTTTGAGATAGATTCCGAAATGAATATTTCGAACTTTTTGGTATATTGAGGGTAGTTTTATATCTTGCCGATGTTTTCGAGGTAATATAACGAACTTTTGGGTATTTCATAATTGGGGGTAGTTTTATATATTCCCTACGGTTTCATTTTGAAACTCACCTAAGTGGATCTTTAATGGTCTGGTTGAATCTCTGGGACATTAATTAAATTAATTTATTTTTTGGAGCGATCGATTACAATATTTCCGTGGTTACTTACCCAGCATGTCCATAAGAATATGTTTTTTTAATTAAGATAAGTAAGGAACTGGTCCACTGTAATATTTGCCAATATAAATCCAAATCTAACGTCAGCCACACCAAGTTTATTTGGCACGAGCGGAACGAGTGTTTAATAAACAAGTGACTTAAAAAGTTTACCAAACGTGTTGCATACTGTACTTTTTCTACGACCTTCAGTTTTCAAAAAACCGTGACCATAACAAAATATAAGTTTTAGCATATTATGATCATAATCATTTTTGAATTGTAAATCATCCTACACAAGGGGTTGTGTACTTTAACACACTAAAACATAGTCCTGTATAACATCAAAGTGGAGATGGAAAAAGAATCTGCAGGAGATTTCTAACCAAAGAATGTCAAGCTAACTTCATCAGACCGTAGGACATCAGAGAGTAATGCGATGTTTGAAATATTGTTTTATGACTGGTATGAAATTGAACTCACCATCGCGGTAAGTACTTCTTATTGCAGATATTAAGTAGCTGTATTTTTTAACTTTTTCCTCGTCCTTTTGGTTTGGTGCGCATATTGGGCAAGCGGTTAGAAGGTACGTCTCGATCTCTTTGCCCTCTCGATCGACAGAAAATATCACACCTATGTGCCATACAACTGAAGGTCGCCGTGATAAAACCTTCTGTTTTGGCAAGAAGATTAGTTTCTTTCAAAAAGTCTCTATTTGCATGTTCAGATAAAATTGACTATATTTTCCATGTGGATTTTAAAAGTTTTATCTCAAGTTTTTTTAGTCTTGCTTTCTCTCTCCGTCTTCCAGAGGGTGAATGATGAATGATATTTTGAACTTTTCCGCCCTGCGAGTGGCATGCCGTAATATAGAGTCGCTTGGGGTAAGTGAAAGCAGTTTCACGCTTAAAGTATGTTAAAAAGAAAACTATTATATTTAGGAAGTATCGAACCAAATGTTTATTACATTGGCACATTACAAATATGAAAAATAAAAAACATAAACTTTAGGATTCTGTCTTATTATTAAAAAACTAAAACAAGTTATTATGCGCGCACTTGTCCTGCCATTGGGGTAACTGTTCGCAGCCTTCGGGCTAGGTGTACGCACATATTAATTTGCATAAATCACATAAAAAATACCCCTGTTTCATAAGAGGTGAATTGTTCATGCCACCAATCTTCGCATTTGAAGCACTGAATTCATTCTTCAGTATTCTTCATATTTTTCGTTGCATAATGGACAAAAATAATCTTTTTTCTTATTGGACAATTTTTCAGTTTCCGAAATACAAGAAACACCCGAAGGTCCCGGTTGAGGGGATAAAGATCTTAATGGTACTGTTTTTTCTTCCTTTTGTTTGATTTAGCTAATTCTTCGTTTTGTTTGTTTTCCAAACCTTCTTTTAATGGACTCGAAGTCATTATTTCCGATTTTAAACTTTTTCTTTTTTCTGTGTCAGTTCTTTTTGGCAATGGACTGATAGCAGTAAGTACAATATGTTCAGTTTTCTCAGTCTTCAAAACTTGTGGTGTTTTGAAAACCTGATGATAAGTTTTTGGTTTAGTTTTCAACTCTTTGATTTGGCGGGTAAATTTTTGTATTGTCTAATGTCTGATTGTTTCCTGGCTGATTGTCATTTCTTTGGTTTGGCAGGTCAGTATCTATATTGTCTGTCTGATCATTTTGTGGTTCATTTTCATCTCCTTGGACTGGTGAGATAATATTTACATTGTCAGTTACAGTAGCCGGGAGGAAGTCATACTCTTGAAAAATGCCATTGTTAAATGGATTAATTCCAGTCACTGAAAGTCCCGAGGCAGTATTGCCAACTGTAGCAACTTGTTTGTAGTCTTCATTAAAAAAAGCAGTTACTTGATATTGTGCGAGAGCCCTCCCAGGATGTTGAGTCATCCAACGGTCACACTCGATGGTATACTTGGCCTTAAGAGGGCCAAAAAAACTCCTGTCTAATGGTTGAACTTTGTGGCTGCTGTGGGGAGCTAAAGTAATAACTGAAATGCCATGTCTTCTACAGTAAAGAGATGCTTCCAAATTAATATGGGACGAGTAATTGTCTAATTGGTCTTAATCCGGTGGGCCCTGCATCAAGGAGCTTTATCCTTTTCCTCGGAAAAATGAAGGCAGGTGATATAAATTGCCCAGTGGCGTTCATGTAACAGACGGTGGTTATTGTAATGCCCCTGTCAGCAGATACAATTTTTCCTACCATTTCCTTTCCTTTCACGAATACGATTCTGGGTGTCTTTTTGGGAACCATACTCATCCCAGTTTCATCCATGTTAAAGGTGCAGTTCGGGTTAAAATTGTATTTTTCATACAGTTCCTTTAAGTTACAAAAGAATCTGTCAACTTGTACTTTTTCGTAATGACTGAATTGTGAGTCCATAAAAAAGATTGTTCATGTTCAAACAATATTCGACGATCTCATTTTCTCGAACACTTTTAAAAGTAGGCTTACACCGACCTAAAGACGTTGCAACACACTGTAAAGACAGTCTTTTTCTAAGGGCACCTTCGCTGATCCCAACTCTATCAGCGGCTTTTCGTTGACTCACACCTTGTTCCATAAAGTCTTTTTGCCTCATCTATTTGCTCTTGGGTGACTAGCCGCTTATATGGATTTTTTCTTTGATACCTACGAGGCATTTTCCTGAAAAAAAACCCTGGGTGAGTATACTCACTCACGGGTAAGTGTGAGCATGCGTACACTTAACCGCGCACATTTACCCCAACAACGAAAAATTTTAAAATGCCTCAAATTTCAGGTAACACAAACAACGTGCAAATTATGTTTAGATATGAAATTAAACTTCAATGCATATATATTTCAGAAAATGTGTACTTACGTTACATTTGCTAATCCACACCGAGAAGCAGACACTAACAGTCTGCCAAAAATTTTAGCATTTTAGCCGCAATTTTATATTTTCTCGTATTTTATAAACGAAAGCCATTGCAGCCGATGGCACCTCCGATTCTTTTCAATGTTTAAATAAAATCTTTATTTTTAAGTATCATTAAAGGTAAGAACATAACATGAAACAAGTTTAATGGACGCCACTTTATCCACTAGTTTATTTGGCACGAGCAGAGCGAGTGTCTAATAAATTTGGAACGAGAAGCGTAGAGCAAAGAGTGCTTAATAAATGAGTGACTTAAAAAGTTTACTAAACGTGTTGCATGCTATACTTTTTCTACAACTATTAGTGTGCGGGTACATTTTTGTAAAACAGTACGTATACATTTTCACTGACGCTGTAAAGATTGATTTTCCGCGCATGCCTCTACATTTCAATCACTAACCTGCTCGTAGTTTATATGACACACTAGACTTCACAATATATACAAGATATAGAGGATCTGCCTAATCCCGATATAACAGGAACTTATGAAGCAACTATGAAAACATTTTGGGGTCTCTTTCAATATGCGCAAATCCGAGATCTTCCAAATTAACCTTTCAAACTTGCGGCATTTAGAAACCAACATGGCCGCTGGCAGAGCGTTAATAACTACAATATTCTCAAAATCGAAGGAAACGGAACAAAGTCGAGGTTAGTGGGTGAAATGTAGAGGCACGCGCGAAAAATCAATGCCTTCTGTACAGTGTCAGTGACAATGTATAATATGTCATTCATCCATGATATGCATAACATACTATTACAAAAATCACTGCAATGACACACGGGCTGTGGTCTATAAGGATACTTTTGCAAATAAGTTGCAATGTTACTGTGAAAAACAGCACTCCGAATTCTCCGTGGAACATTTTTTATAATATTAAATAGTGAAACTCAAATAATTTTTTTTAAACAAAGAAGTGATTATACATTCAAATCATGCCTAAAATAATATCAATTGTATTCCATTTTATAATTACAAACTGGAGCATAAACATACTTGCTAAGGGGTGAAAAGCTGCTACCAGGTTCGATCTTTGTGTTCTAATTCATATAAATCGGAATCCTCTACTCCAAAAAACTGTTCACGGTTCACTGAAGTGAGAATTAAAGGCAAGGTCTATAATAAAATAAGAAATTAGAATTGACGCATTAGATCTGCAACATAATAATATACATACAATTCCGCTTGATCATACATTTCATCGATTCTAGACAAATGGTGGACGTACATTATTTTTAAAATTATTTTTTTTTATAATTTGACGTTTTATCATAAACGAAAAACATTACAAAATTACAAAAAAGTAATTAGGCAAATAGAATTTGGGAAAAAAATCAGCAGTTTGCGAATATATTTGCATGGTATTACACACTTTTTGCCGCCATATATATATTTTGATTTCCTGCTAATGCTGAACGCTTTCATCAACAAAAACGAATGGATAATAGAAGTAAGGATCACAGAAGAGAACACACATTCGTGTGGAAGAAGAAGAAGTGGAACCATAACCCATCACAAACTGGAAGCATTGGAGAGCATTTAGTAAAACAGTGCCAACAGAATTTAAGATGGGAAAAAAAACAAAAATTGGAAAACATCGGAAAGACAAATACTACAATTTGGCCAAGGAAACTGGTACGTAATTGGAAGTTTGTAACACCTTTGAAAATATATTTTTAATCTTTAGGATTTCGTTCACGTGCCGCATTCAAGCTCATCCAACTAAACCGAAAATTTGAATTCTTGCAAAAATCGAGGGTATGTCTGGATCTGTGCGCAGCTCCGGGAGGATGGATGCAAGTAGCCAAGCAAAATATGCCTTTGTCAAGCATTATCCTTGGCATTGATTTATTTCCAATTAAACCCATACCAGGGTGCATATCCTTAACGGAAGACATAACAACAGATAAATGCAGAGTAGCAATTTCGAAAGAACTGCAAACGTGGAAGGCAGATGTTGTGCTTCATGATGGAGCACCTAATGTAGGAAAGAATTGGTTGCACGATGCTTACTCCCAAGCTTGTCTTACTTTAAGTTCTCTGAAGCTGGCGACCCAATTTTTAAGAAAGGGTGGTTGGTTTATCACTAAAGTATTCAGGTCAAAAGATTATAACCCTCTGATTTGGGTATTGAAGCAATTATTTAAAAAGGTACATGCCACAAAACCCCAAGCCTCCAGAAATGAGTCTGCTGAAATTTTTGTTGTCTGCCAACATTATATAGCTCCAGATAAAATTGATGCTAAGTTCATGGACCCTAAATATGTTTTCGAGGATTTAGAAATTGAGCCAAGAAATATATTAAATGTGTTTCATCCAGAGAAAAAGAAAAAAGATAAACCCCAAGGTTATCCTGAGAACGATTATACTCTACATCATATATTGAAAGTATCTGATTTCATTAAGAATGATAGTGGAATTGACATTTTACAAGATGCCTCGGAAATAGTATTTGATGATCCAGAAATACTTAAGCATGAGAAGACTACAAAAGAAATACAAGAATGTTGTAAAGACATTAAAGTATTGGGACGAAAAGATCTTAGAAACCTCTTGAACTGGTGGAAAGTTCTTCACGAAGAATATGCTAAAAAGAATGCAGTACAGGAAGAAGCTGAATTAGAACTAGAAATAAAAGCGGATAAGTCAGACGACAGTGAAGTGGATCTGAAAGATGTTGATAGGCAAATTGCAAACCTAGAAGAAGAAGAAATTAGGGATATGAAGAGAAAGAAGAAGAAAGCACAAAAGGAAAGGAAAAAACTAAATGAACGTCTCAACTTAAAAATGGTTCTTAAAGGAGATGATGGCCCAAAATTGGAAGGAGATGATATGTTCAGTCTTAAAGTAGTAAAGGATGCCACCAAGATGAAAAGGGTGATGGAACAAGCACCAGATGTTGTTGCCGAATCTGATGATGAAAACGAAATACCAAAGGGGAAATATGTTAGGTATGATAAAGATGACACTCACTTGGATAGTTCCGGACTATATTATAAAGACTCCGATTCAGAGTTGGAAATGGAAAGTGACTATGAGTCTGATGATAGTTTTCAAAGCACAGGACTTGGTAATATAATTTGTTAACTTTTCTTTAAATATTCTGTTTCTATTAAGTAAAGGGATGTCATAAAAGAAGTTAAATTCAATTAGGAGTTAGTCTATACCATGAAGTAGTGTTTACTTTTATATACTTTGCATATATTTTTAAATTATTCAATAATTGATTTCTAGGGTTTCAGTCAGATAATTCGGATCATGCATCTCAACAAAAAGCAACAAAAAAGTTGACTCCGAAACCAGCAAAAAGCAGATCCAGTCATCCACTTATAACTGACTTGGATTATCGAGACAAAGAGCAGAAAAGGATCCATAAAGCAGAATTGTGGTTTGAAAAGGATGTCTTTAAGAATCTTATTGATGAAAAAGATGAAGATGCAGATTTGGATAAGATGATTGAAGAGTACAAGAAAAAAGGAGCTCAAATAGTGGGTGAAGATATTGAGACTAGGACAAATGGAAATAATGCGAAGAATAATAAACTGCAAAAAAAAAACAGAGTCGATGATACAGATTACAGCTCAGATGACAGCACAGATAGTGGGAGTGATTCAGATTATGATGTTGAAAAAGAGATGAAATCTTTAAATAATACCAAGAAAGATGGGTTTGAGGTTGTTAAAGCATGTAAGATATAACAGTATCCGTTGTTAGTTGCCAATATTTTCTAAGTTTCCAAATAACTGGAATTAAAAATCCATTAAAATTTTTATTGTATGTTATAGCAAATAGATCAGGATCCAAAAGAAAGCACAAGCTGACAGAAGAAGAATTAGCGCTGGGAACTCTTATGGTGAACAGTAAAAAAACAAAACGCGATTTAATTGATGGAGCATGGAATAGATACATGTTTAATGACCAGCATTTACCTGATTGGTTTGTACAAGACGAGCAAAAGCATATGAAGAAAGATACTCCTGTGCCAAAGGTAAATAAAAATTTATTTATTCAAATGAAATGTGGTGCCCAATTTTTCCCTTTAATTAAGGAATTAGTGGACGATTACAAAAAGAAATTGGAGGAAATAAATGTACGACCTATTAAAAAAGTAGTTGAGGCCAAGGCAAGGAAAAAGAAGAGGGCATTGAGGAAATTGGAAAAGGCAAAGAAAAAAGCAGAAGCTTTGATTGATAATACAGACATGTCCGATAAGGAAAAAGCTCGGCAAATAAAACAGTAAGTTTTGCTTTTACCATTTGATATATCAAAATATCAAAAATCTTTCTAGAATGTACAAGAAAGCGCATAGAGAACCCAAAAAGGAGGTGACTTATGTGGTAGCTAAGAAACATATGACAGGTAAGAGGGTCAAAAGGCCAGCAGGGGTTAAAGGACATTACAAAGTAGTTGATCCAAGAATGAAAAAAGATTTAAGAGCGCAGAAAAACAAGTTGAAGACCATGGCTAGAGGCAAAAAGAGAGGCGGACCAAAAAGGCCCACAAACAGATCAAAATGAGATTTTTTGGTTGTACAGATATTAATAAAAATTTAACCAAACTTTTGATATTGTTATATACCAGCAGTTATGGCGATGTTCTAAAAAACATGCACACCAATGGATCCTAGACAGTGTCATTGGTTATTCAAGTCCCTATCAACGGAACTTCCTATCACCTATCACCAATGGATCCTAGACATACTAAGTTTGTTTTTCTACTGTACCCACATTTAGATAATTACAATATAAATAGGCAAATGATTAGATAGAACCACTGAAGTCCCTACCAACAAAACATTTTATAACCAAGATTAACCACTTTGTTTAGCTAAGTAAATTTACCAAATATATACACCAATGGATCCTAGACAGTAACAATAGGTTTATTTTTCTGCACTAACTTCATTTAGAATTCTTTAATTTTGTACTTCTCATAAGGGAAAAAAGCTAAGTAATCTAAATATTTTTGCTACTGCGGAATAAATAAAACGAGAATAGTTGGGCTGTATAATTTATTTGCGATTGAACAATGTACAAAACCATATTAAATTCCATAGGTTTGTTTAATCCATGACTAAGTGAGAAATTAATTTCTTGTTCTCATATTCTATTCCTGTGAAAGAGTTCGTCCAACAATCGGAAAGCAGCAGTATAGTAACGCACCTAAAGTAACCCTCAATAGATGAACTAAAACACAGTCTAAACAAGCATAATTTTTAATGTCAATGTCATGGGGGCTTGCAACATCAATAGACAGTGCAGTATTTACTTTCACAGTTCTGATCATTGAAATAAACAAATTCTTAGACCAGTAAACATTCAACGTGTCACTTGTCATCTCTCTTTCAGAGGAACAAAGTGTACTACATAAATCGCACACAAATTTTAAAAAATATATAATACTACTTCCCAAAACAATAACCGATGGACGATTCTTAAAATTTAAATAAATGCTTTTTTTATATTACCCTTAGTGTAATTAATAGGGTCTCGGTCTGCTGCCCCCGTCTCTTCCACCTCCACGATCTCTGTAACAGGGAAGAAAATAATACATACACCAAATATAAAATCAAATCAATTAATTAAATTTATTATGTTTCTTCATATTGCATATTGATTTTTGTATTTCTTCCCTTTATCAAAATTAAAACAGGTAATAGCAATGTACCTCCAGACAGGATCCGTTCATAACCACATGGTTAAGACGAGTTTTAATAGAGGCAAATTTGATTTTTCCCTTTTATAAAAATCAGACAAAAATATAAAAAAAGAATTGCCGAGAGCGAAAAGGGAAGTTTTTAATAAATAATGTGTAATTTTCATACCTTCCGCCGCCTCCTCGTCCACCGCCGCCACCCCTGGGGCCACCGCGCCCTCCGCCAAAACCACGGCCGCCACCCCTGTCACCTCCCCGGAATCCGCCACCACCACCCCTTCGATCTCGACCTCCGTCGCGGTCTCGTCCACCCCCCCCACGTCGATCGTCACCACCACCGCCCGCACCCTCGGGCTTATCTTCGTTGCAGCGATTGCATTGGGCTCTCCATGCGAAATTGGTGTTGCCACAATCCGGGTTTGGACACCTCCAATCGCCTTCACGACCCTCGCGGTCTCTACCACCACCGCCACCGCCCCCACCTCCTCCACCACCTAAAACAAAAAGATGCGGGCAAAACTTAATACCGACCAATTTTGCAGGTTCTTTTTTCTACACTGCTTCGGAACGAAAACTAATACCGACCAATTTTGCAGTTTCCTTTTTCTACACTGCTTCGGGGCGGAAACTTATTAATAAATTTTACATTAGGTCAGTAAAAATAAAGGAAATAAAATCAACGCCTCGAATATATAAAGGTACTTTTTTTGGGTAAATACAGGACGATTTCTAATTGAATGTCAATAATGAAGGTGCTGACTTTTGGGTCCATTTTAAAAATAAAACTTCATATGAACATATGTCCTAAACGTCTTAACTTTGAATAAAACAGATAGGCAAGTAAGTAAGAAATAATAATGATAATAATTCTCTGCATGCAGTCACAATAACAATAATAACATAATAAATAAATTTCAAAAAACTCCTAAACTGATGATCAAACATCAGCCAATTCACAAGTTCTGTAGAGACATTAAATGTATATTCTTAATATGCCTCCAGAGCACATAGTGTAACTATTACTCATATTTTTGACAATAGAAAATATCGCTTTAGTTTGTCATACCTCCATCACGTCTGGGACCTCCAAATCCTCCGCCACCACCGCCACGTCCGCCACCCCCGCCTCGCGGACCACCCCGCCCACCGCCACGACCGCCACTCCAATTATCCTTTTTGGTGGCCAACTGAACTTTGATTAGGGAGCCTTTGAAATCTTTACCGTCGAACCAACTAATGGCTGACTGGGCAGCGTCAGCATCATCATAAGTTACGGTTGCTTCACCCTTGGACAAGCCAGTGGCTTTGTCTTTGTAAAGCCACACCTTCTTTTTCTGAGTGCGTTTGTCAATCTATATCAAAACAGAGCAATATTACTCAAAGCGGATAATTCACAGGAGATTATTTAACAATGTCACAGATTGAGTAGTTCATTTACCGTAGAGAAAGGTAACTGACGAATAGAACCTGTGTAACGATTTGGCGGGACAACAAAATTGTTCTTGAATATGGAATAGTTCAAGCACAGAGTGCGGTCCGCGTACATTAATTAATGGCACGTGAAACAATAACACACCTTGATAATCCCAATTGAGCCAAAATGATCAGCAATGTCATCCTCATCCAAATCGGTGTTCATGCCAGAGACAAATATGGTATCGACTTGAACGACAAGATTGTCACCACCTGCAATTTAATAGGAATTTTAGCCATTATTTTTTTTTTTAGTATAAGCGGTCACACTAACAAGTTTTAACACTACTTGAGTAGATATCTCAATAATCCCATTGTTTCAAAGAAAATTAGTTATTATCCATTTTTACTACAGTTTCATTAAAACCTTTATCTTTTATCTATAATCTTTTGACTTTCTCCCTTTAATTAAATTAACAACCTGTAACAAGTTTATCTAATTCGCTTTATTTGTTTTTCCACGACATTTTTGTTAGGGTTCACTAAACCAAATCACTCAAGACTACGTTAAGACTGGTATTTTCAATACCGATTCTGTTACCAATGTTTCACTGAGTGTCCTTTTTAAAACAACTTATATTAGTGGTTTAATAACATAGTGGTAATTTCATAACATTTATACAGAAGCGGCAAATCTGTCCGGCAACTATTTGACCCTGGAAATTTTATATGAACCGATGGTTGACCGGCAGAATACCCAAATCGATATGCATGTTAAATCAATAACATTAGATCTTTGGATTGTAAATTTTTTGTAAGTACTGCTCGCACTAAATTCCATTAAACATTTGCCTTTTAAAGATCAATTTAAAAAACCCATCATATTATTTGCTAAAGTGAAAATAACACAAGTGCACAAAGTAATTGAATGTATAACCGTTTTGGAATTTCCAAGTACACAATAGATTATAAGTAGATGTATGCACCGCCGATGAAAATAACAAACCTGAAACGTTGCATAAAACGAATTTTGTCTTGAGATTAACTTAACAAACCCAACCAAAAAGTTAATAACCCTTTCCTTTAGTTAAAATCAATTTAATCCACACAGTCTGTTCAGTCGGCTTGTGTGTATCCTAGGTCCTCATAAACTCTTCACCATTAGCACATTTCCGAGTGCAAATCGATTATTATCTTGCAAACATTTATACATGGAGGATAGAAATGGAAATGTGTAATACGTTTTTGCATCAATGGCGCTCATATTTAAGAATTTCTCTGGCTTAAAATATAGAATAAATGGGTGGTTTTATAATTGCTGTAAGTTCGTAACTAATACGGAGTTAAGTGAATTCTTTAGTTATGAGTCACATAACATTTTTCAATAAACTATCCACAAATTACCATGTACATATTTACTACACTGGTTTCAGCCACCATGACAAATGAGTTTAATGCTCTTTAGCACACCGTTTAATCGCCACTGGAAACTCAAAACTCATTTGGTATGTTGACCCCAACTCGCACTAAAAAGTGCAAGATACCAACCACCTAACATCATATAAACCCATTCTTCCACAAGTAAAACACCTTTTAGAACGGGAATAAACGCATAAAAAATAATATGAATGCAACCGAGTACCGTTACGCGGACCCGGTGCTTTTACCTTTGTTAAAACCACCGCCACCACCCCTGTTGCCGCCGCTAAAACAGAAGTAAACACACATCAGTTATCGCTTCGTATCGCTCCAAAACTGTTTTCGGCGGGGGTGCTTAAATACCCAGATGGCAACACAAACACTTTCTCTTCTTCGGAACTGAGGAACAACACCTAAGTTTTGGAGTTTTGCGTCTTGTCTGTCTGTTACTTGTTTTTGTCACTCGTCATTTGTTATCATTACCATTATACCTTTATATCAAAACCCTTTGTTTATTTCTTGCACTTGCATGTACCGTTTTCACCTTAGAGTCACCCTTTTTCCTCAGAAACCAAATGTAAAAGAACCCTTCTGTACAACTTGACCATAAATGGTTTACCGTTTGTGTGTACCTCACATTATTTCTTGCGTTAAAAAACACGAGAAGATATTCATACATAACCGACCAAAAGAAATTTTGAAAAAACAAGAACTAGTCAAGTCAAAAAAATTGAAAAGAAATCTGAAAATTTACTCACAAAAATTTGAAATTAGTAGACATATTTTAAATGCAACATGATTTGTTTAATACCAAGGATCTGCCTGATCTCATTTAAACTAATACAAACTCTTGTAATGTAGTATATACAGTTTTATTTTAAGCAAAAACAAATTAAATTGCCAATAATTTGTATTAGTTTTAGAGAAAAAGACAACAACTAACCTAAAACCATTCACACAACACTTATAATCCCAATTTGAAAAGTGCCATATTTTTTGAAGCACAGACTAAAAATAAAATTCACCCAATTATAACCATAATCTTAACTAAAAAATACACAGAAGCCTAAATTTTAAATTATCCTCATTCAAATATTATGACAACTCAAAAAAAAAAACTTAGATTAGAAAATAGAGTTGATTAATCCATGCAAACACTTACTCAACAAGGTTTTGCATACATTTTTCTTTTAAAGCTTATCCTTATTTTTTTGTATGAGAAAATACAGATTTTTCGCGTATGCCACATTTCTAGAATATCTGTTGATATCAATTTTCTCTTTTTTTTTAATACTCTGAAAAGTTTGAAGTGCTGATTGCAATTAAAAATCAAAACTTACCATACCACTGCAATCCTGAATTATAAATTAGGGTTCGTACTAAACATATACTTCCAACTGTTATTTTTAACATTGAAAAAAAATCTTTATATTGTGAACTATATCTTTATAACAAAAAAAAAACGCGGAAAATTTGAAATTTTCTTAATTCTTCATTTGAAGAAAACAAATAAAACTTCAATTAGTTTTAAAAATAAATATTCCAGTACTCCAAATGTAAAGAAAGGTTTTGCTGTAATAAGTTTACGCTGAAAAAAAAATTTTCAACATTATGGATAATTTAATGTTCTTATGGGCTACAAAACCAACCTGCTATACAACAGACCAATACTCAAAAAAACACTCTAGAGTAAACAATGAGAAAATTATATATGTCATAAAGCTCACCAAAGTTGTCTGTAAATTTACAATACACTTAAACAAGGGATTCATTGAGGTTTAGTGACCTCCTGGGTATACTACAAATTAACCTTCCTTTCCCTTTCATCCACAAATAAGCATTCAAAAAGGTTATCATTAACTTACCCATAACTATCTCGGCGATCTAAATCTCTGCCCCCTCGATCATTTCCCCGATCTCTACCACCTGAAAATAATGAAAATTCACCAGTGCAATCACAAAAAAAAATAAACAACTTTACCTCCATATCCACCACCTCCACCATATCCACCACCCGAGCCGCCACCTCCAAAGCCACCGCCGCCAGATCCGTAACCTCCGCCACTTCCTCCACCTCCTTGGTAGCCACCTCCTTCAAAATAAAACAAATAATTTAAAAATAAAAAACATTCTAGGGTTCCATTTCATGGAGAAAAATATGTCCTAAAGATTTTCTACCCTTAAAGCTATAGAGTAACTGTAAGGACTATCACTCATAGAATTGATTTACGACATAGATGGTGGATATAAGCTACTGAAAAAACTTATTTCCATGCCTATGTCATCACCTTTACCTAAACACGGAAACAAAAATCTGATCCTCAAAAAGTTCGTCCAAGAGATTATAAAACTGTAAATACCCGAAGACAAGTCCTTAACTTTGCATATACATATTTGTAATTTGTTTTCTCTGTTGCTCTTAAAAAATAAATGGCATTTTTTTTACAGTGCAGATAAAAATTCATTTTCTGTTAAAAAAACACTGCCACACAATATGGATTAAAAACCCACTCAAACTCGAATTTTTTGTAAATGCTGGTCTCAAATTTTGTCAACAAGTTAAAATACTAGAGCAAATAAGAACACTGGCAGGACATAAATGTTGAAATGGGGTTTATAAACGTTTAATGAATTTCTTAAAGCTTACAGCCAACAATAAATATCAAGAATATAAACTTTTAACGAGTACTTTCAAACTGTACCTTGACCACCCCCATATCCACCTCTAGACTGATTACCCTGGTTCCAGCCGCCGCCACCACCGCCGTATCCACCACCTTGGGAACCGCCGTAACCTCCTGAAGAAAACCCGCCTCCGCTGGGCGGTGGTTGAGAAAAATCACCGTAGCCTCCGCCTCCATAATCTAAAATTACAACAAACAGAAAATAAAATTAAAAATCCAAACCGGCCATTTTAAAATAATCGCTTCGGCGACGAAAATATGAACAAAAAAGTACGCGAACGTCAATATTCACAGTTTTATACAACAAAATGTTGACCGATTGGTTATTACAACTAAGATATTTAAAGAATTATCTTACTATCTCCCATATTAACACTTAAGTACCACCAATTTCGATGAATAAAATGAACGAATTGTCGTGGCTTCGCGTCGCTTTGCTACGAGAGAAATGTCTGTGAGATCGTAGCAACTTTGAGTATGCGCATTTGAACACTACGTGGAAAAACTTTCTATTTTTCATGGGTGCAGATCAAGAATCCGTATTAGGTTTACGATTCTTGGGTGCAGTTAATTTTGTGCACACTTACATTAACAATGGTTAGTTTTGGTTAGTGTGGAGCAAATGAAAAAGTGGGTTAAATCCAGGATTTAATTCCACAGTCTAAAAAACCTCGATAATTTTCAAAATAGGGTTTATGTCTATTTTATATTGACTTCTGCTCAAATCTGTGAATTGGATTCGCGAACGCAGCACTTACTAAAGTAACTAATATCCTCTTTCATTTACCCTAATAATTCCTAATAAATTACATCGCAAATGTTTTTTATTTATTTAAATATGACCTTAACTTTTAACGCCGAAGCTTCTATACCCATGGTTAAAGTGTGGTAATTGTTTACAATTATTTTAAATTTTAAAAAATCGTAATGACTTATAATTTGTTTTGCTGATGATTCTTGAAGCCAGCACAGAGGAAAAATACCGAACTAGACTAATCCCGACAATGTAAATTGAATTGAATTGTAAATTGAACCCAGATAAAAACCGAGACCAAAGGCATAATTTATGTCGGATTAAATTTCACTGTACTTCACCCATACAAATGTTTCAATGATATCCTGTACTTACCTCAATTGAACTAATACTTTTTGTCCGTTACCATGAAATTGGAAAATACGTACATAGGAAGAATCCTTATTGAAGGAAACAGAAATATAAAGTGTTCAAATTATGAGATGGCAAGAAACAATTATTATACTTGCGTCCTTGGCCTTGACTCTCCATAGCGACAACACGTGACGCTCGATAGTTTGTTTAATTACAATGCATAATTAAGTGACTTTCCTACAAAATACGCTGACGTGTATCACAAATTATTAATTGATATTTTTCGCATTGTATTAGACTTATGCATCAATAAAATATTAAATTATATCTTTTTATATTATTGAAAAATCATTTTCTTTTTATGCAAAAGGATTTATTAAAATAATTAACTTTTACATAGCTTGCAATATATTCAATGACCTACAATCAGATAGATATACAATAAACAGTTTAACCTATATTCCAACCGTGGAAGGATGGGGTCCTTTAAGTAACTCAAAATTACCCCACATTCTACAAAAATTACAACTAAAACAGTCCTTTACAAATAATTTTTATTTTAAATATATTTTCAACATCTATTTTACATTCCATCCAAAACCATGGCCTCGGTGAATGAATCACTGAGATCAAAATATCCCGAAAATTAAACCAAACTCATGCAAGAACTTTAACGATTAATTTCTTCTCTTCTTCTGTGACTCCTGTTCCTGTAACAAATAAAACTATTTAGTACTCTCTTCTAGTAATGACAAAGTAAATGTTCAAAATAAATGGAATGTGCAAAAGATATTAACCTAATTACCTTCTGAGTCAAGATGACCAATAATCTTTTGAAAACTCCTATGAAATCAACGAACAGGTCCAGAGAATGTGCCACAAAGTCCCTGCTGCCCATTCTCCTCTTTTCGATTATAGCCTGAGTATCATATAGAACAAATCCACACATAGCAAAGAGTCCAATATAGATCTGAGCATTCCACAGCAATGTTGATCCAAAGAAAATATTTGCCAAACTCATAAGCATGAGGCTGTTGAGCAAAGTAAACAAAGTACCTCCCAGATACAACCATTTTCCTCTTTCGGAAAGTAATGCGCAGATGGTAAATGATACAAAGACCACTGAAGTTGCAATGAATGCAGTGATTATGATACTTGGATCTACCAGAACAACATGTTCTAAAAGAGGTCCCATTCCAACTCCAGTGAGAGTGGAAAAGCCCAGGAGGTAGCCAACGCGTTTTGTCATTCCTTTACCATTGTCATCAGGAGTGGATATCAGAAGGAAGAAGAAGATCAGTGCTCCAATAGCGGATAAAAAACCCGCTTGGAGAATATTTGTGAACATATGTATCGAAGCCCCGACACCCGCTGCCAATGTTGACATTGCGAGGCAGGCATATACATTTTTTAGGTGTTGCCTCACAGGTGCTTCGCTGAAATAAAACAAACACGGTACATCAATATGACATGTATCACTAATATATAACACACAGAAAAAATCGATAAAAGTAAACTTACAATCTGTTGTTAAATGAGTTCACGAAGGAATTTATGTTCACGGATGCCATAACTACGTTTCTCAACTTTTTGCAAACGTCACAGAGATAAATGCAAAAGCTCGCTTGGAAAAATATTTAAAACTTGCGAAGGATCGTTGCACGTGCTAGCTTTACCAATAACTCGTGTTCACTAATGGAATACGCACTGAAAGTCGATTTAACAGTTGTCCCGTTTACGCCAAACGAAATAAAACACGTCAGTACAAAAACAATTTCGATTTCTAGTCAAGTTCTAGTAAAATCGGGAGCAGGATGCCAACATTATGAAAATCGACGATACGTTATTGGTCAACGCAAGGGACACGTAGAAGGGGAAATTTCATGTTCGAACTCGAAAAAAGCTTATCATTGGTGCCAAAACCCAAAGACTTTTAAAACGGGCTATTGTGATTTATTAAAATAATCCAATGGGTGACGTATTACGTCCCCTTAAATCCAAAAATTCGGCCATGGAAGATTGCATATCACTTTAAATTCACAGCATTAAAAGCTAAAAAACAGCATCAAAAAGCTGCTTTTTGATCCTGCTATAAAAACAATGCATTTAATTGGTGGTGGGTGAGGTCACTATAATCTTAGAGTAACTATCGCATAGTAACCAAAGAACATTGGTAAGCCAACAGCTATGATTTAGGATTTAGTGTGTGTGACCGATGTTCCACCCAATCGTGCAATTAATAGCTTAAATAGCTTCCTTCGTTATTTGCATAACCTATGAAATAGATTTTTGGTCAAGTGATCACAAATTATCCTGAACAAATAGAACTTTTTAATTTACGTTTTCGGTGCTGTTTTTTTATTCATCTGCTATGCGTTTTTTTTGTTCAAGATCAACCTCTGAGCCCATTTTGCTCGCTATTCATTATTATAAAATGATATCAATATCGTATGACTCAATTTTGAGCATTTTTACAAAACATTTAATGAAAAAAAAAAAACAAAAATTAAATTGACATAACCTTACATTCACAGAATATTCTCCTAACGTCTAGCCAACCGGTGCACTTGGCTTCCCAAATTAAATTATTCAGTGATCAGGGACATATGCGTTTCGTAGGCATGTCAAAACCAAAAATAACCAATGCTAATTGAACAAATATTGAGAATAAATCTTTCGAATCATTTACATGCCAGAATTTTGAAGGCAAATGATTTTGACTTAATTAATCTTTCTAGTTGGTGAATATAGTTTTATCTCCCTTAGATAATAAACGAACTGTTGGACGTAAATAAGCAACCTAAATATTATTTTATGTCATATGGTAGGCAATTAAAGGCGTTTAATCATTGAGGCGAATTAATGAGTAGTTGACGCATTTTGTTAAAATATCTAATTGAGTTTAAGTAAGAAAAAAATGGTTTATACCTCCAACTTCTTTAAAGATTTTCATGGTGTCCAGCAAATTACCGATCCTCAAAAACCTCAGTTTTCGGTGGCGGAGTATGTATTAAAAGTTTTTTTTTTCAAATATCCAGTTATCTAAAATATTTTTAGGTGTGAATTTGAAAGGCTTGAAAATGTATTCAAGTTTAGCAAAAACATTGATATTATGGTGGGACTAATTCACCTAATTTATCTCAAAGAAACTATACAGAAGCAAGTTGAAAGTGTGATACAAGATAACATCTCTTTGGAAGAAGCAGTATGTGAGGCAGTTGTGAAAATTGTTAAAGAGTATCAACATAAACGGCAAATCAATAAGCAGGTTTTTTCCAAAATGACTGCCAGCACACTTGAAAAAATTATGGGGGTACTATCTTATAGCCACCAACCAAGTAACTGTATTTTTTTAAATAGAGCTATGATAATTTTAGATATTGGACAATATTGTTGATAGAATTCCAAATGATCATTTTAAAAGGAAACAAAAAATAGTTTGCAAACATATTGTAAATCCTATGGGCAGTTGCAAACCACTAAATCCATTATTTTATATTCCCCTAAAAGAAGATATTCCTGATTTCAAGACAGAAGTTAAACCCTCAGAAAGGGATAACTTTTCTCTATTGTATGAAGCACCCAAACCTGTGAAGCCAAAAGAAAATGAGGCTTATCCTCTGGAGACCATGTTTGAAATTTATAAATCTTCTATACCTAATTATACCTTCAATGAATTTAAGGCCATAATACAAAGTCAGCTCAATTCAAATCTTAGTGACGATGAAATTGTAGCCTATTTATTGGATACATTTGGTTGTACAGTATTTGATTTTGTAATTGAAATTGTGAGAAATCGTAACAATATCAATTTTAATTCGAGTTTTGGTAAGTGGCATTAACATATTTATTCTTTTACACTTGATGTTGCTTTACAGTCTTTGAGAGTAACTCAAAGAACCAGAAAAATGATCCCAAAGCGTTAATAGCAGGAACTGTCACAGTCCAGTCGGAAAGAGAAAGTTTACTCTCGAAAAGATTGAGAAAAATCGAAAAAAAAGAAAAGGCTCATAGGACAGCGGAATTTCAGCAGTAAGTCAAGAGGTGTATTACATGTGTGGTTTGTGTGATGAGTAAGAGAAAGAACTAGTTCGAGTCGCTAGCAACACTTTGGTAACCAATGGGAATTGAGCTTTCATCAACAGCTTCTTCTTTGTTTCTTTTCACCCTTCTGTGTTTGTATATTATATTTCTATGCCAAAACTTGACCTCAAACTCACTGGGCGCCGGGAACAACTGCCAATTGGTATTGCTACTTTTTTGAGTGACAGGGTGGTGAGGGAGTTTCGCTGTAGAAACTGCCTAGTTCTGAGAATGGGGATTAATACACACAACACAGTCTTTGATGTCACTTTTTTTGTTTTTATTGATTTTTTTTCACAGTGTGACAAGTAAAAATTATTCCACACTATAAGAACTGTGCCATTCAGAACTACAGGTAATGTAATGATGGGTGAACTGGACACATATTCTCACTGAACAATAAACAATGTTATTAGAGAGAATCGATTTGTGTGGATTCACAGTATGATAGATGAAGCCTAAATTGTTCCAATGAGAATATATTTACAGATTTTTGCTAAGTTTTAAAATAAAAAAATAAAAACGAAAACCTGAAGTTTAAGATTTTCCGCTATATTTCCGGAAGTAATAAAAATAACTTCAGTTTCAAAAGGAACATTATTGAACTCACCAATGCGTAGCTTTGCCCTAATTAAAGTCAGCCTGTATCTCTTACCGTTACGGAGATCCTAATGGTGGGAGTCGAATTTAAAACACCCGGTATACCATAAGGAATTATTAATATTTTCAAATTCTAAAACTGATAGTGAAGTTATTTTGGTTTTTGCTATTTCCATTTTTTTATTTCTTTCCTACATGGGAAATACGGCTTTGTTCCAATATTGCTAGTAATACTATTAAAAACTTTGGGATGTAAATAATAAATATACATTTGACATATTGAGTGTCTGGGGTTTTGTAGTCCAACATTGTTTATTGTTACATTGAATGTATTTTTTCCATGATTAATAGCATATTTATATAATAAGGGCCCTTATCGGAAACTTTATTTATAACTCCAAGGTGTATCTGATGAATATTTTGATAATTCACTCAGACTCTGTCGGATGCCACCACCTCACCAGAGATATAAGAGTGAGGATATTTCTTTATTCCCCAACAACAACTGGGAAACGGAATAATAATATTTAAACTGAATAGGCTTATATTATTTTATTAGTTTTGGTTAGTTTAGTAAATTCATTTTTTGTGTTTTTGCATGATATCCATTTTAGAACTGAAGCCGAATTTGAAATAGCTAAAAATACACCTCTATTCAAGAAAGCTGCACCTGCAAGGTTAGATGCCGAAGAATATCCTCACATTCATGATCAGTTAAGAAATCACATGATAACAAGTTAGTGTCAATTATGTTGAGTGAAAAACTTAATCCTTACTTACTTACTTACTTACTTACTTTTCAGCAAAATATGATGGTGTTTCATTAATTCTACCTGAAAACGCTTTAAAAAAAGTTGGCAAGAATAACAATTATGTTGAATTCACTATACCAGGTGGAACAAAAGGTGATGTGCCCAATATAGATTTGGTTCCAGTTAACTCATTAGATCCAGTGGGGCAGTTGGTGTTCAAAGATATCAATAGGTTCAATAGGATTCAGTCTGAAGTATTTCCTGTTGCTTATCATTCAAATGAGAATATGCTTGTTTGTGCTCCTACAGGAGCCGGTAAAACCAATATTGCTCTGCTTAGCATTGTACACCAGATTAGGTCCCATATGGAAGGGAGTTTGATTAAGAGAGACAATTTTAAGGTAATTATTGGAATATTAAAATATAAAAGAAAAATATGTCTTTATGGCTTATGGCAATAATATTGTCATTCCAGATAATTTATGTATGTCCTATGAAAGCGTTAGCGACAGAAATGGTGGCTAATTTTGGTAAAAAACTAGCACCTATAGGTATAATCGTCAAAGAATGTACAGGTGACATGCAACTAACTAAACGAGAGATAGCTGAGACGCAAATGCTTGTAACAACGCCCGAAAAGTGGGATGTCATTACCAGAAAAGGGGCAGGTAAATGTTCAATTTTGAAAAACTTATATTAACTAGGCGCAATTAAAATTAAAACGGTGTTTTTTGTGTTTTGAGTGTTGCAAGTAAATTTGTTGTTTTAAATTTAATGTCTTTAGTGACTAAGCGCTGTCTTGAACTACTTTTTGAATAGGACACCCTGTATATTATTGCATTTCTAATACCAATACTTTCTAATATTAGATATAACTAACCAAAATATAACATTTTGATCATTTCCAATTTCAATTCAGATCTTATTTAGTAATCATTTCCATAGTTCTTTTTTACTTCTGGAAATCATATCCAGTAAAAAAATCTGAAGCTAAAGAAAATGGGAAAACTGCGACAATAGAATTGATTGTCTGTCTATATTTAAGTTGTGTTCATATATTTCAATTATGTTCCTTATAATCTACACTGTGTCTAAAAAGTTTGCCTTTTTGTTAACATTAAATCATCAGCAACACTTTACGACAAAAATTACATACCTTGAAGAAGCCGAAGTGGTAGAAAACCACACCACTCTCGCTGAATTTTATTAGCAAAATTGTTTTTGACAAATTAAATTATTCCAGTGGATACGGAAGTCGTTGGGCTTGTAAAGCTTCTTATAATCGATGAGGTTCATCTCTTGAACGGATCTAGAGGACCCGTTATTGAGGCGCTGGTCGCCAGAACATTGAGACAAGTTGTTAGCAGTCAAAGCATGATTAGAATTGTAGCCCTTTCCGCAACTTTGCCTGGATATTTGGATGTAGCACAATTTTTAAAAGTGAATACAAAAACAGGTTTGTTTTTCTTTGACAACAGGTTTAGATCGGTACCTTTGACCACCAGCTTCATTGGGGTAAAGAAGAAGGATGAGGCTGATATAATGGATGCAGTTTGTTATGAGAAAGTTGTTGGATTCGTTAAGGATGGACATCAGGTAAATTGTCGTTTAATTCGTCATCTTTAAGAAAAAGTTAAAAACTTGTCGCATTTTAGGCTATGGTATTTGTTACGTCCAGAAATGCGACTGCTGCAGTTGCTAAAAAGTTGGTTGAGATAGCTCAAACCAAAGGCACCCTTAAGCTATTTGAACCCGAGAAAAATGTTAAGATAAATAGAAGCGGTTACAAAAACAGTGATTTATCGTTTTTAATACCTCAAGGTTTTGGAATACATCATGCTGGTAATTATTTTTTGAAATTTAGAATTTAACATTTGCTACAATTGAAGTGAAGAAAAATAAAGGTATCATGTACGATCCTTATTAAAAGTTTGTTTTAGGAATGGTAAGAAGCGACAGATTGGAAGTTGAGCACTTATTTCGTAGCGGAGTTTTGAAGGTAGTCATTTGTACAACAACACTGGCTTGGGGCGTTAATTTGCCCGCTCATGCGGTCATCATAAGGGTATGTATTATGTTATTTCCATTCCGGTAATGCTTGATATGAATATTCAGGGTACTCTACATTATGACGCCACCAAATCTTCCTTTGTGGACATGGACATGTTAGACGTTCAACAAATTTTTGGTAGGGCTGGCAGACCCCAATACGACACATCTGGTCACGGCATAATCATCACTTCAATGCCGAACATGTCGAAGTATATGGGACTCATGTTATCACAGGTTCCCATCGAAAGTCAGTTCTTGAGTTGCATTCCCGACAATTTAAATGCCGAGGTTAGTAATAGCTGATTAAGCATCGTGGAGAATTCTGGAAAAATCTTAAATAAGAAAGGCCATTTAAAACATTTAACTAATATCCTTAATAACTCCCCTAGGGCCGAACTTTTGAAATATTAAAATAACAATGTTTTAGAAAATATTTTTTAATTTTACGTGGTTACATCAGGATTAATCAGAATTTCGGCCAGGGTTTAATTGTGAGAGTGTGCTTGCTGATGTCATGGCTGATCTCTTCGTAGCCTCTGAGAGTGGGAAAATTTCCATAGTTTTGCTGTTAGACTTTAGTAGGACATTTGATAGAGTCAATCATGACCTTTTAATATCCATGCTAAGATTTATTGGGCCGAATGATAGTGTTCAGAGCTTGCTGAAAGAAATCATTCTTGTCTGAATCAAACTCAGCCAGTGCTTACTAATGAAATACGTTCAATTAGCATCAACATTAAATCTGGAGTACCTCAGGGTCTTATCCTGGCACCTCTACTGTACACTATTTTTATGTGTCAATTTCATCAGTCACTTAAACATCTTAAATATGGTCATAATCATGTCGTTGCAATTTTCAGATTCATATAAAAGTCTGATCCGGTATCTAGAATTGGAGAGCATGTTACTTATAATTTAGGAGCGCCTATGATTCATTAAAACTAATTTACTCCCACAGACAAATTGCTTATCACTGCCTATTATTATAATATTATTATCAATATTATGTGGCTATTAAATTGTTTATTAACAGATTATATTAGGAACAGTATCAAATATACGGGAAGCTATGGAATGGCTTGCTAACACTTTCCTCTACTGCCGAATCAAAAAGAATCCTCTGATTTATGGTTTGACTTTCAACGAAGTTTGGGATACACACCAATTTAATCAGTTTCTACAAACACAGTTGGATAATGCTGCAAAAACACTGGAGAGATCGCAAATGATTCGTTTCGATTCAACTTTAGGAGAGCTTAGGCCTACAAATTTTGGCAGGATTGCTAGTTTTTACTACATTTCATACAAGACAATGGAGTTGTTTTATGAAAAATTTGACAGACACATATCGGAAGCGAACTTGATTCAGCTTATTAGCGAAGCAGCTGAATTTGGCCAAATTCAAGTACCTACACTAAACCGTTTTTTGGTTCATAGTTGGCCTAATGCCGCCATTTTTTTTAGGTTAGGATGGATGAGATTCACGAGCTGGACCGACTTAGAGAGTGCAATGAGTACAATTTAGATTTGGATTTCAGTTCGTCCACTTCTAAGGTCATCTGTTTAATGCAGGCCAATATAAGCCGCGCTCAGATTAGGGTTTCTTCTTTGGCTTCTGATTGCCAATATATTATGCAGGTAAAAAAGGACAGGCTTTTCTTTGTAAAACTCCACATAAAATAAAATAACATAGTTTTGCACGCATCGATGATTATATTTATACATATTAACTGCAAAAAAAATAAACATTACATTCATTAGTCACTGATATAAATAAAAATGTAATAGTTGACCAACGATTGACGAACATCTCCAGGTAAGTTAAAATAATAATTGCAAAACGGCAAAAAAAAGCAGTTTTACAAAACAGTGTTTCAGTTAAGAACTATTACATTTAAATGTTGGTAGTCATAACAGTTGTCGTACCTATCTTTGAATTTTTTCAATTTGTATTTTCAAAAATAAGTTGAATTTGGTTGTGGTATTATTATTAGTATTAGTGAAGTATATAGGACCAACGAAAAGTTCCTATTAATCATTACGATTTTTTATGAATGAATTTTATGTTTTCTAAACCATTGACATTATTTTAGACTGTGGTCAGATTAGCAAGAGCTCTGTTTGAAATTGCAAAGGATAAAAACTTTGCTCTTCAAGTATCCAGGACGTTACAAATAGCTCAAATGTTGGAGCAGCAAATGTGGGATCACATGCCTCCCTTGTTACAGTTCAAAGAACTGGTGCCCCACTTAATGACCCATCGAGCGAAGGATATTTTAAATTTAAACGTGGAAGACTTAAGAGAAATGTCTGAAATGGAACTAAGCAATATGTTTGGAGCGTCATATGTAGGCAAGAAAGTTCATCACTATTGCCAAATTTTTCCGGCAGTAAATGTCGAAGTTGTCGTTAAGCCCATCACAGATGTCGTGATGAGGGTTATATTGTTCATTACACCAAATTTTAAGTGGGATAATAGTGTACATGGTACGGTACAACATTACTACGCTTGGGTTGAGGATCCAAGTTACGATAGTATCTATCATATGGAATCTTTTGTTATAACCAAGCGTATGTGCAATATAGGGGCGGATCCTATTGAGTTGGTTTTTACTGTACCATTAACCAAACCATTGTCTTTGGAGTATTTTGTCAGAGTTACCAACAGTCAATTTATGCGTAAGTAGCCTGTATAGAGTAGTGATTCTTTCCTATTGAAATGGAGCAATTAGATAATATGAAATCGAAATTTTGGGCTGTTAATTCATCAAAAATATGAGTTTACTTCTTTAACTCTAAAATATTAGGTATATGTCATTATGTTTTCAAAATCAGTTAAAAGTGTATAATGAACTAAAATATTTAAAAACTAGAGTGCGTGTACGCGAAAAAGAAATAGATTCCTTGTGTTCAAAACATTGGTTAATAATGTTTATGAGTGAAAGGCACCAGAACAAATTTTAACAGGATTTTCATATTCGATATTTTTGAAAGCTGGTTCTAATTTTTGTTTTCAGTTTTATTCATTTTCGACGTTATTCTTATAAAAATCTGTTTTTCAGATTCAGAAACAATGCAAGTAATTAACATTGACGAGTTAACATTGTTTACTGCCGAATCGCGCGAGACAAAAATCCTGGATGTTCAACCATTGCCAAAAACAGTGCTGCGTAATAAGCAATTCGAAGATTTGTATTCCTTTACTCATTTCAATGCCGTGCAGAGCCAGGTGTTTCACTCCTGTTACTACACTGAAACGCCAATTATACTCGGCGCACCTACTGGTTCTGGAAAGACCATAGTTGCCGAATTGTGTCTATTGAGACTGTTTGCCAATAATCCCGAATTAAAGGTATATTAAATAGGGTTTATTTGAGACATCATTTATAAACAACTAATATTATTATATTTTTTACAAAAGTAATATAAATCTGTAGCCTGTCGGTTTTCAATATATTGCATAATCAATCAAGATTTCCCAATATAGCTTCAAAAAAAGTTATATCACATTAACACTATTGAAATGATGCAGGGTTTTGGATTCAATGCTTTTAATTCTAAAACGTAAGAAAAGGAAGGGAGGTGGAAGTTTTCCAGATTAAAGTGACTATTATTGTTGTTTGACCTTAACGCACGATATATATCTGAAAGAACACATATAGCATTCAAAATTCTTATACCATAAATAATAAATGATAGGAAGGAAGGAAATTTGAATGTAGGGATTTAGGAGTATCAGATTATTGCCAGGGTTATAATTAGAAATATTTTGAGTTGAAGACTGTCATCAGGCTATATAATGCCATGGTCAGGTCACATTTAGCGTATGCCTGTCTTATTTGGACAGTACAGGCAGAAGTTAATTGTAATATCCTTATCCTGTTGGAATGTGCAGTAATATAAATAAAGAAATAAAAGACGCGAAGTAACAAATAAATATGTATTCTGATGCAGGGCAACGATTTGAGCTGAGGATTATAACATTTTTTTCTTGCAAATTTGATCTAATTTCTGAAAGTGATATATGTGATGTTTTGTAATTTAGATAAACAAATTCCATCGGGGTAAAAATAAAGGTATAGGCAATCAGAAGAAGTACAACGGCCCCTCCTGCTCATCATAAAAAGTGTTAAGTTAAAAAGGGGATTTTTAGTAGTATTAAGGGCTAGTATTTGTCTGCGTTGCTACAATAGTAAATTTCTCAAACGAGTGCTTTTTGGTATATGACCCAAGAAAGTTTTTTAGATTATAGATACAGATACAAAATTATTTTTAATAATTCAATAAGATAAATAAAGTTGTATGTAAAATTTCTGAAATTCTAATATACTGTGAGATCTAGGTGTCCAATACCGTCCGGCCGGGCACACTCGCTAACAAAGGTAGTAATAGCGCACTAACAGAACGAAAATTCAATTAGTAATACGCGAATTACGGACAACCTAAGTTTCCTGTTTTTTGTTTCTCATAAATGAAAATTTTTCTCTATATCTGTATTTATCATTAACAATGTGTTATAAGGAAAATAATATTGAGTAACATAATAAAAGCAAGCTATAAAATATCGAAGCCTATTGTAAAACGTTCAGCAGCATGGTAGAGGTAATAATTTAAAAAAGTTTTATTTCTGCATAACTCAGTAGTAATGATTCTTGGATAAACAATAAAAGCCTACCTGATTTTAGGTTGTCTATATAGCACCCATGAAAGCACTTGTGCGGGAAAGGGTGCTAGACTGGTCCGCGAAATTTTCAAAGATCGATAAAAAAGTGATCGAAGTTACCGGCGATGTAACTCCGAGATCGGACCTCATAAGGACTTCCAACATTATTATTACGACCCCAGAAAAGTGGGATGCGATGAGTCGCAACTGGACCGAAAAAGATTTCGTAAAACAAGTCGGGCTTATGGTTATTGATGAAATTCATTTATTAGGTAGGTTGCCAGTTCATATCGCAACATTGGAGGTTTCATAACCCTTTGTTACAGGTGAAGATAGAGGTCCCGTTTTGGAAGTAATTGTTTCCAGAATGAACTGTATTAACAACAAAAAGAATACCAATGTTAGAATCGTGGGTCTGTCCACAGCTATGGCCAACCCAGGCGATCTGGCTTGTTGGTTAGGTTGTGACAGAGTATGCACCTGTGCGTAGGATTATACAAGTGATACTAGTGTCAGTTAAATTGTTTCAGAGAGGGCTGTTTAACTTTAGTTCTGCGGTACGGCCAGTTCCACTAGAAATTCACTTGCAAGGCTTTGAAGTTAAACACTTTTGCCCCAGAATGGCCGCCATGAACAAATCGGTCTATCAAGCGATTTGCCAATACGCATCTGAAAGTTCTGCTCTTATTTTCGTTTCGTCACGTAAACAAACCCACGTTACAGGCTACGAATTGATGAAATTTTTGCTGACCGAGAATAACCCCCAGAAGTGGGTGCATTGTGATCCAGATGAAATGGAAGATGTAAAAACTAGATTAATCAATCAGGATTTGGCGCAATTGTTGTCTTTCGGGATTGGAATGCATCACGCTGGTATGTTTTGTTACCAATTGTACCCCCTGGCCGATAAATTTTATCATGGTTATCTTTAATATAAAGGAATACCCAAAATGAACTATATTTTAATTTTAAAAAATGTCTATTTAACCAAAACAAGTTACAAAAATTTTGCAAAATGGACATTTTATTGACACAAAATTGATATTTTGTTTTGAAATCAAAAAGTTATTATCATGATTTATAATGATATTAAACCTTATAAAAAAACACTTAATTATCATAAGACGAATACCTAAACTGTGACCATACTTACAGAAGATCTGGCTTGAGCTTAGAAGATTTTTTTTTTTAGGACGTTTAGGATCTCTGTTATCAGACGGGCGTGGCTCTTTGCTATCTTATATACCTGGAGTGTATCGGGTAGGCACCACTCTAGTGGTGTACCGACCGACTAAAACCCTGCCCCTCCCTCATTAGTGGACGTATCCCTTGATCAAAATGTTGTAATAAGTTGTGATGCTCTATCTGCGTCGCTACCTTCTTTCTGTTCTCCTAATATCCGTCTTTTTCTCCTCTTAGTATGCTAGTCGCCTACAACTTTCTAATTATGTACACTTGCCAACATTTTTGTGACGATATTCTCTGGTGTGATTTGGTCAAGATATTGTTTTGCTATTCTTCTCAAAGAATGTATGGTAGGCGGTGTCTCTGTACAGCGGCAATATAGGCATTTCTCAATTAAATCTATACTGGTATTCCTGAAAGCACCCACGCCCTGATATCAGTTGCTCTCTTCCAACTCATGGCGCTATATCTTGTGTGTCTTTTTGTCCACTCATCTCTGTGCGTATCCTCCTGCCACTTGTATAGGGTCAGTTCACTTGCTGCTTTTCTCTCCATTCCTTCAAACATTGAGTACAGCATATATGGCCAGCAGATAGATGGGTCAAGCCCTTGTGATAACTAGTAGAGCGTTGGTCGATACAGTCCCATACACTCTTACGATTCTTATGGCAGCTTTTCTTTGTACGCTGAGCAGGATATTTCTATATTTTTGCTTATCGGTCGCTCTTTTCCATATCACTTCTCCGTTTAAGACTGCGCGACAGTTGAGTTCTGTTTGATCCTCCCGTGCCTCCAACGTTCGGGAGTAATCTTGCTATATTCATTACAGCCTTTTCTGCCTTTTCTGCCATCATTCTTACGTGTTGTGCCATCCTTTTGTTTCTGTCCAATGTAACACCCAAAAATTTTATATGCTCTTGGCTTCTTATTGCAATGCAATACACGGCAATAAGAAGCCTCTACTTGTTTTAGGGTCCTTGCTCCTGCTAGGACCACCATCTCTGTTTTTTTGTGGAGCTGATTTGTTCTAAGTCACCGAGTCATTTCTTCCAACACTTTGTTTGAGCTTTCCTCCAGCTCCTATGTGTTCTTTTCCACCAGCACAATTGCTAGGTCATCCGCATACCCTACGAGTTTTACTCTATGCGGCACCGATAGCCAGCGTGTTGGTCCAAGGACGGATCCCTGTGGTACACCACATGTCATTTTCAAATTTTCTTTTTCCGCGATGTTTAGCCATCTGTATTCCAAATAACTAACTATCATATAAACATATAGCTATTTGCCTTTTTCTTAGTTCTTCCAATACACCTGCCCACGATTGAAGGCATTTCGGACATCCACTGTGATAAGGATACACCTTTTCTTACCTTAGAAAAGTTGACGAAGTTTAGTAATCGGTTCCGCTTTCATTCAAAACGCATTGTATTTGTTTGTCAAGTACCAAACTGCTTGTGACATATGGGAATATTTTGTCTTAGCAATGTCATATAGAAAATGGTTTAAAGATTTCGTTATTTTAAGGTTTGACTGATTCCGACAGGAACATAGTCGAGCAGCTGTACGTCAGTCAAAAAATTCAAGTGTTGATTGCAACAGCCACGTTAGCTTGGGGCGTAAACTTTCCTGCTCGCTTAGTGATCGTAAAAGGTACCGAATACTTCGACGCGGCTACCAAGAGATACGTCGACATGCCCATTACAGACGTAATACAAATGGTTGGCAGGGCAGGAAGGCCGCAATTTGACAACACCGCAGTAGCTTGTGTAATGGTGCAAGAAAGTAAGAAGAATTTTTATAGGTGAGCGGGTGCACACATTGAGTGATAAAAAGAGAATGATTTTTTAATCAGCTGTTTTGTTAGTATGGAAACATCTTTCTGTAATGAAAACTTTGAACTATTCTAATGACGTTAAAAAAAATTAGTAATACCTCCTGGAAGACATATTAACGAGATCATATAATTTTTTTGGTATAATTTATCTAATAATAAAAGAACTGTTGTCCTTATAAGTATCTACTTTCCAAAAAGCTATATACAAAAACTATGTTTAGAATTACCTTCCATTAAAGCAATACCGAAGAACTACAGGATGGATTCTCTAAGTTAACCAAACACATAAACTTGTAAATGTTTAGTTCCAAATTTTTGTTTTAGAAAATTTTTATTTGAACCATTCCCGGTTGAATCTAATCTGCTGGAAACGCTACACGACCACGTCAATGCAGAAGTAGCTAATGGCAATATCGTTACCAAAGCTCAATTACTTGAATTTATAGAATCAACATTTTTCTTCAGACGTTTATTGGCCAATCCAAATTACTACCAGTTAGAGACTGATGGAGATCCCTTGGAGTATGTCAGTAGCCTGGCTGATTCAGTAATCGACATATTGCGAGAGCACGACTGCATTGCCGTTGAAAACACTGAGGTGGGTACTTTTATTAATGGTGCTAGCAGCTTCAAAGCGTTTTTATTGATTCTGGTTTGGTTGGTGAAGTTACCAAATTTTAATCCAAAAAATAGTGTGCGTTTTTAAAACATTCTAATAAACTACCTAAATTTTTAGAAAATTGCAAAAACATACATATGTTTATACTTACAAACAAATTAATAATGCTGTTCAACGAACTGTTTACGATTCTATTGAACTTGGAAATTATTATTGTTCTTCTATTCATTTTCTCAAGCAGTTTCTAAATCATGTTACGGATATTCAAAATTTTACAAAATATATTTTCTTATTTGGGATATTTTGATATTAAAAATTGCTTAAAAATTCTTCTCCAGTTCAATTAAGAGTTTTTATAAACACAAGCTGTTATGCCATCCGTGAAGCCTAAAGACACCACGGACAGACAGAGTAAATAAAAATGTGTTTTATTTTTTGTATTCCAGGCTTTAGAAAACATTTATGAACCCACCTTTTTGGGCATGCTCAGCTGTCAATACTACCTGAGCTACAAATCTATTCACTTTTTGAGTGAAACTATGCAACCAAATAACTCAATTGACGAATTACTTCTGCTGATATGTCAGGTGGAGGAGTATAAGCTCTTTCCCGTTAGACACAATGAAGATAATATAAATAAGTCTGTTATAAGCTATATATAATTTTATTTTATTATTTGTATGTTATTTTTAAGGGAGTTGGCCAGAGATTTAAATGTGAAATGCAACTTTTCATTTGATTCGCCAAGTATGAAGGTTCTTTTGATGATCAAATGTTACCTATTGGGTGCTAAGTTGCCTAATCAGGAATATGTTATTGATTTGAAATCGGTGTTGGACCAAATTATTAGGATTGTTCATGTAAGCTTCATTTATAATCAGTGCTTATTACAGATTAATATTACACAGTCATATTTATATTGTTACTACAAAGGGCTAAAAAGAGATATATCGATGATGTCTCGTCAAAATTTCTGTTCCTACTTTTTTAGTTCTAGTTTTTGGTGGGAGGGCCGGGGTCGATTCAGTATTTTAAGTTTGCCAGCAGACATAAGTAAAAAATTAAACACAAATGTTCAAATTATGATTGAACTGAGGTGGCTTTTACTTGATGAAAATCCATTGATCAAAATAAATAAGAACTAAAAGTTCAGATTTTCACGAAATTATATATTATGACATGACAATTGTTTCGACAACACCGTGTCTTTATCAAATGTAATATCTACAAACTACCTGCTAATATATATACCGAAAAATGAACATGAAACCTTAATTAATGTTGTTGCGAAAATTTAAGTTCAGTAAAGGAGAGGTATTTAAATCTAATTGATTGTTAAGCAATACATTTGAATGTCTCATTTTGTTAATCTCCATGGCTTCCAATAAATTTAATTTTCTACTTTTTGTGGCTGTGTGTAATATATCAAAATTGTTGTCAAAAATGTGTTTTTCTGTGCTTAAGTGTGTAGCATAATTAGAATCTAGACTATTATTTTTAAACGCTCTTATATGTTCGTTAATGCGTTTCTTGAAGGATCTACCTGTTTGTCCAATATAAATTTTAGGACAAAATCCACATTTTAACCTGTAGACACCTGATTTTTGGGATTTTGGACATTTCGATTTATTGTTTTTTAAATATTTTCCTATTGTGTTGTTAGTTCTGAAAGCTATTTTTAAACCACATTTTGACAAATGTTTTGAAACTTTTTCGCTAGGTTCTCCTAAGTATGTAATTGTTTTAAATTGTTCGTGTTCTGTATTTGGTTTCGGATAAATAGAGTTTAATGTTGTCTGTATTTGTTTTTTATTTATAATTTTATCTATAATGGACGGATTGTAGCCGTTGTTCAGTGCTATTTGTTTAATGATATTAAGTTCTTTGTTGTAGTTTTCTGTTGAAATTGGCGTATTAAGAAGTCTGTGTATAAAAGAGTTAAATGCAGCCATTTTGTGTGTATAAGGGTGATTTGAGCTGTTATGTATGACTGTGTCTGTATGTGAAGGTTTATGATATATTGAAAAATCTAATTTGTTTTGCACTTTCGTAATAGTTGTCTAAAAAATTAATAGAGTTATCCTGTTCAATCTCGATAGTGAATTTTAAACGATTAATTTTAAATTACATTAACTCAATACATAATCGTATAAAATTCACTATCGAGATTGAACAGGATAACTCTATTAATTTTTTAGACAACTATTACGAAAGTGCAAAACAAATTAGATTTTTCAATATATCATAAACCTTCACATACGGACACAGTCATACATAACAACTCAAATCACCCTTATACACACAAAATGGCTGCATTTAATACACAGACTTCTTAATACGCCAATCTCAACAGAAAATTACAACAAAGAACTTAATATCATTAAACAAATAGCACTGAACAACGGCTACAATCCGTCCATTATAGATAAAATTATAAATAAAAAACAAATACAGACAACATTAAACTCTATTTATCTGAAACCAAATACAGAACAAGAACAATTTAAAACAATTACATACTTAGGAGAACCTAGCGAAAAAGTTTCAAAACATTTGTCAAAATGTGGTTTAAAAATAGCTTTCAGAACTAACAACACAATAGGAAAATATTTAAAAAACAATAAATCGAAATGTCCAAAATCCCAAAAATCAGGTGTCTACAGGTTAAAATGTGGATCTTGTCCTAAAATTTATATTGGACAAACAGGTAGATCCTTCAAGAAACGCATTAACGAACATATAAAAGCGTTTGAAAATAATAGTCTAGATTCTAATTATGCTACACACTTAAACACAGAAAAACACATTTTTGACGACAATTTTGATATATTACACACAGCCACAAAAAGTAGAAAATTAAATTTATTGGAAGCCATGGAGATTAACAAAATGAGACATTCAAATGTATTGGTTAATGATCAATTAGATTTAAATACCTCTCCTTTACTGAACTTAAATTTTCCCAACAACATTAATTAAGGTTTTATGTTCATTTTTCGGTATATATATTAGCAGGTAGTTTGTAGATATTACATTTGATAAAGACACGGTGTTGTCGAAACAATTTTCATGTCATAATATATAATTTCGTGAAAATCTGAACTTTTAATTCTTATTTATGTTCAAATTATGTATTATTTTATTACAATTAAAGCGGATATCGTACATACATTATCAATATTGGTGGTCACCCATTATTTTAGAAAACATTTGGCATAATTAATAAATATTTTATAATTATTAATTAATATTTTAGGGAAAACGATTTATTTTGAAAACTTAGTACATAGCGCCATTAGTGATAATTTTAAAAAGCTCAATTATAAGACTAATTCTTGACCGATATTGCCATTTGCCTTCTTCTGTTTAGCCCTCCATAACTGTCTGCGATTTTCTTTATTTTATTTCTTTTTTTTAAACTATTATTTATTTCATTTCACTATTAATTTTTGTAAAAGTGGTCGTTTTGTGTTTATTATTAGACCTTTTTATTTATAAATAGTATTATCAAAAAATTGCTTCCATTGGTAGGCAATGATGACCCTGGCGGCAGGCAGAGATTGGCTGGACTGTACCCTGAAGCTGATCTATTTCTGTCAAATGTTAATTCAGGGTTATATGATCAATGAATCCAACATTATGATGCTTCCTTACTTAAATAAAGCCAACTTCAGACCCATAATAGATCAACTGACTAAGATGCTTCAATCCAAGGTTGTATCGGTGCCACTCCTTAAGGCAGAAATGGCACACAACATGAATATGGTTACCAGTATCACCAACATATTCACCGAATCTCTTGGCGAAAGATCTTCCAGTGAAATTATGAAAATAATTAACAACTTGCCAATATTGACCATTCAAACTATGGTTAGAGGTGTCTTGACTAACGATGTTCTACGGACGTCTGTCGATCGAGATTGTGTAATAAATATGACGGGTAAAGAAGCAATGGATTGTATTTTTGAGCTAGAAATCCTGAGGGAAGGATCCAGTGAAATGAATGTCTACAGTAAAAAGTTTAACAAACAGAAAGAAGAGTTTTGGTTTGTCATGTTTGTTATGGAACATAAGGTGTTGTTTAGGAAATTTTCATTTAATCGAAAAACGAAAAAGGTTGAGATACCAGCGTATTTACGTAGAGGTAAGCTTATTGACATATTAACGTAGTTAAGCACCTCCAATATTCTTTTTATAGCTTATAACCAAATTTGGATTTTGTCATTTTATTAAATTTTGTATTTTATTTCTATATTATATTTCACATCATTACATCTTCCTTTCATATGTTAAATTCTTTAAATATAGTTTTAAATAAGTATAGATTTCCCACAACTTGATAAATTTTTTGATACAGATTTTATTTTATTCCGTTTAAAAGGTTTTTAATTTCTTCTAAATGCTGCAGCAAAGTAATGACCATACATTTAAAGTAAAACAATATAAGCACTCATCAGAAAAAACTTTGGAACCAGCTACTTGCGATGTTTTTCATGTATCATGTCATTCTTTGGTTTTAAGGTTTTTTTAATTACAGGTGTATATGCAATCAAGCTGTATATTATGAGCGACTGTTACATTGGTTTCGATCAGATGATAACTTACAAAATTAAAATAGGATATTGATTATGACATAGCACACTATAAAGGAATAGTGTTTTGCTTACCACTATATTATATTAAAAATATGTTTTTTTACATTTTTGCTTATATATAACTTTATATTTTATTTATTAAAATTAATTTTAAGTTGTATTGAATTATATTTCCCCATCTTTAATGCAGTAGGTCAACTTAGGAGAACACAAGCACAGTAAATAGTAAGATAGTTCTGGTTCAATACCCCATATTGAGAAGTCAAGGTGATATATATTTTGCTGTTCTGATGTGATACTTATTTGAAACTTATAATAAACTTATTTAGGACGTGGGTTTTAAATATGACTCACATTCTAGATTGGAGAACACATTTAATTTAAAATATTATACAATATTGTCCTATAAAACTAGTAAAAACTAGGTGGCACCATTCGATCACAAATATCATTCATTCCCTTTCATATGTGTCACATACCATGAGATAATAGAGTAAAAATAAAGAAAAAACACCTACAGAACTAAAAAACTATATGCTTTATAATAATTGCACAAAAAATATTAAATTGAAGGAATTGGAACACTGCAATAGTTATAATTTTTAGGTTTTAGTATAATGACAATCCATTAAATGCAAAAAAAGTAGTGGGTTAAGGTTACCCTTTTACAATATGGGAATGGAATGGTCCATTAAATTTCTGATCAGGGATCCAGCCATCCTGCAATAAAATAAAATAACTGTATAAAACTGTATCTCCTGGGGGTTGAGTATATTTGAAGTTTCACTATATTTTATATAGATGAAAATAAATAGAAGACAAAAATGTGAACTTACTTCTTAACCATGTGTTCATAAACAAAACTGGGTATCACAGTGATAGTTACTATATCTCCAGCTTTGTCCATAATCTCCTTAATTTGTTTATCCTTCAACCCAACTACATTCTGACCATCGACCTCTAACAACTGGTGCTCTGTCAACACCCCATTTCGTGCGGCCGAAGATTCCTTAACTATGGCGACAATTTTTCCATTTTTGAATTGGAATCCAAGACTGCCAACACTGTCCTTATGAAGAGTAATAGTCCTTTCAAATGGTCTGTCTCTGACAACTATTCTTATGCCATTAACTGGAGATTTCTTTAGTAGCTCATGTACTTTATCTGTAGAATACCCAGCTAGGTCCTGCCCATTAATTTGCAATATTTGATCGCCAAATCGCAAACCCCCTAAGGCAGCGGGAGAATTTTCAATTACAAGGCAAACAAATATGCCTTTATTAATGTCTTTGACGCGTAGCCCTATTTTATTATTTTGATCTTTACAAAGTAATAGTTCACGAATTCCATGGGTAACTTGGGCTTTCTGCAGTCCTAAAGATTGACTGGAAATGGGGGCGATCATTGTAGTACCACCAGCAGGAATAGACTAAAAAAGAAATTTGCTTTTGCATAAAGTAATTTTCACAGTTTCTTTTCTTTTCTAAAGAAAAACAGTTATGTCTAGCAAAGAAACTGAACAGTTGTGTGTCCTGACTTTACAAAAAAAATGGGTGCAAAATATTGTAGGTAATAAATAAAAAGTATTTATTGTATATACTGTAAGATTTAAGGCGCATGATACTGTTTATAGAGGTAACAAGGGTGCATTCACAATTCGGGGCAACATATTTTTACATTTCATTTGAGATTTTTTTAAAATTAAGACATTTACATACCTGTTGAAATATGGCTACCTGGTGCACATACTCTGGCATATTCTCTTTAATAAGTGTTTCACTGAATTCTAATCCCATGTAATCTCCGAGTGCGGGATATACGTGAGCCTCACTGCCTACTTGAGCTTGAACTCCAGCATTATAAGTTCCGGGATTATAAGAGGGCGGCGCCGGAGCCGAGAACTCATTTTGAATTTGAGCCCGGCACATCTGATCCACCTTCATGTCTTCCAAACTCGGGTACAAAGAAGCCATTCTATTTTTGTGGTAATAATAATAATAATCAGAAAAGAATTCGACTAAAGTTAAGTAAACAACACAGTATTAACCTCGTTGAGTAAGTTTAACAATACTGAGTCACCAAGTAAAACCCAACATCAGATAAAAATAAAAATAAAAATTTTTGACATTTGTTATCATTGTCACAGTATACTAGAATACCGCAGTAGGATTCAAGTTCAATTATGCGTTTCACAAAAAAATGTTGGGCTAGACTGCTAGGATCATTCGCCCATTGCCGACTTCCGTCGAGGATCTTCGCTTTTGGTCATGGACCAACACGTACAAAGAAGACATATAACCAATATTTGCTCAACTAGCAAAAAACAATTTTGACCGATACCAAAAAAACCGACACCCCCCCGTTAAAACAACGGGGCCGGCGGAACTTTTACTCTTAAAACAAACACCAAACACTGCCGAAACAGAGTCACACAAATTGAAGACCGATACCAAAGGTTTTTCAAACGAATTCAGCGGATTCTGCTAGGAGCGGGCGGAGGTTAGACCGCCGCGTGCAATGCTCCACCACAGAATCACCGCAGTAGGAGGCTTCCTTCTTATGTTCATAGTAAATTGCCAAAGTGCTGGGCAAGATTAATGTGATCAATCGCCCAACCCACAGGCAGGTTCTGAGAGGTTATATTTATTATTAAAAAGTTCTATATAGTTCAATTAACTATTATAGCTATGTTTAAGCCCCTACTGTCGAAATAAAAGACAAATATGAGAAATCCGATTACAGTCGAAGAATGTGGCTAGTGACAAGCAATTTTTTCTAATCTATTTTTTTCCAGTCTATTTCAATACACGTTCATTTTAATTTTATGCAGGCGATTATAAACCGACCTAAAAAAACGGTCTGTTGGTACATTCCATTAATTTTAGAAGCAAAGATAATCGCACACAATAAATTTTTCCAACAGGCTTAAAGTTGCTTTTCATGAAAACAATGGTCAAGTGTCACATCGTCCTCGGGACACCCTGTATATTGCGTTAACGTTGAAATTCAACTAAAGTTACCGATTACCAGTGAATTTGTGCTTCCCAATTAGGCATGGGAGCTCAATAGGCTGGGCTCGACCTACTATGCGTTTCAAGAAACTTGGGTCCTTGGAAACAATCGGATCATTACAGATGCCGCTTGTCCCGAAGACGGCTGGAATATTCGACCCCTCATGACGAGAAGGCGCTGCGATCTATACAAGCGAGCACTGCTCTATAGCCAGTCAGTGAAGTGAAACTGGTAATGTCGAAATATAACAGTTATTGGGAAAATACGCTAAGGAACACAGTGTTTCCGCTATTATATTTGATTCATAAGGTTCATTTGAAGAAAGCAAAAATTTAATTAGGTATCGGGTAGCTAAGACACAATAAAACTGAATCGAGTATTACAAATATCTTTTTTCAATTCATAAACAAAATAAATAATTAATTTATATACTATATTTACAAAAATCCATGACCAGCCACTGCAGACGGTATAAAACCCTCTCGACCATCCTTGTTCTTAACATAAAACCAACCCTTGAAGTTGGCATTGAGCAAAAAAACCACTTCGTTTTTCATTACAGATATGCCGCTCTGTCCAACACCTTTGTAATCTTCGTTTATCACTAGTAAGGTCTGTCTTGTTCCCCTACCTAAATTAAAAAATTGCAATTCTGATTTAAGAGCACATCGAGTGCGTTGCAAATACCTTTGGCTATGGCGGCAGCTCTTAAATACAATCTGTCCACGCTTTTTTCACCGCATGTACTTAGGGCTGTTCTGTATCCCGCCCTACAGTAATTATCCCTGTCGCCACTGCAGTCTGATTTCGAACTAAGTTTTTCAGTGTCCGTCATATTGCCAGAAGGTTTAGGGAATACGTCAGTCGACTTTTCCCAACATGGCGACGGTGTGTCGTCGTCTGGAGGGGGTATGATACCTGTGAGCATTTTAAACACGTTAATACATTATTATTAGTTCTTCTATTGAATATAAGATCTATGGTGTAGAATATTTAAATTTGAGAGCAAAATCCTAGACCCTTGATCGTTTCTGCTAATAAATCTCAAGTATTTTCTTTATAAATGATTTTTATATGTGTTTTTTTTGCTCTCTCTAAAATGTCCAGGTCTTAAATTTTACGATTTCATCTATTTGAATGAAATTTTAAGACAGTAAAATTCAAACATATGTCAATAACACATTACCACCAAAAACTTAGGCTTTAGGCCTTTGTTTTTTTTTCTTTTCTATCATACTTCTGCGAAAAGGCGATAAAAGTGAAGCGTGAGTCGAAAAGAGAAAATAGTAGTGTATAAATAATTGGTGACTTGCGACTTGTGTGTGTAATTGTTATTGTAGGCGAAATAAAGTTTCAGTTTTACGCGGAGTGAGGAACAATTTTACTCGATTAAAAAACGTAACAATATTATATCTCGCATATTGTACCTACATGGTGCTATATATACAGGAAAAATATATTTTTAATTTAATTAGTTTTTTAACTTAATTTAATTAGTTTCTTTAGAGTAATGCACAGTGAGACAACTAAAAAAGGTATGCTATGGTGTCAATACAGGTGAAATCAAATTTTAGATCGATTGTCTATTCAAGAAAATACGATTTGGAAAGATGGTGCATCCAAAAAATAATTTCAGTTATTATTGTTATTATTATTTATAGTCGCCTAAAGAGTATACTTATCAGCGTATATAAGCGCCGCGAAGCAGCTTTCTAGAGTTGCGCAGTAACTGTTGATAAAACAACCCAATGCCCTCGCGAACACTGAAACGCGGATATTGCGTTAGACGTCGCAACGTCTATCGGCTCCCTTGATTACGCTGCATAGACGTGACTGACCGCCCCGACGGCGCCTCTTTTCCAGACATACGTTGCGCGAAGAAACCAGTCGACCGCGACCGCCCTTGACAATAGAAACGTGAAAATCGCCCTAGCGCTAAACCCCCCTTTAAGCCCCTTTCACTATTAATATATTCCCTTATAAGTCGGTGTCCTCTTTGGGCTAGCCTCTCAAACGGTTTCCTTCGAGGAAATTTAATCTCTATTTTAACGCAAAATGTGTGTTTGTGATTAACTCGAATAAACTGATGATTTGTACCGTCGTCACGTTGTGACTGAATATAGTTTGTGTTGTGTAAAACGGCTATATTATAGTTTTTCAATAAAATCCATCGTATTCACTGTCAAGACATAGTTTTCAACGGTCGTTGAAAATCAAGCGTGGTGGACAGCGTTAATTTGTATTTAACCTTCTAAAAGTATCCAGTTTGAATCACCCGGTACGTGAACTGGAGAGAATAAAAAATATAAGTGATCTAAATAGTGCACATTTTCGTACTCATTTACGAAACACAGAGTCCTCAATTCCTGGAAGTGTGAGAAAAAGACATTGCTAAATATGGTTTTCTTACAATAGTAAAAGATAATTTTTGTCAAAAAATTTGTGAATTCAACAGTACACTTTCCTCATTAATTAATTAATTAATTTTGCAAAAGGTTGCGAGAATAATATTGTTCCTTAAGAAAAAAATGCCAGTGCAATTTATAATTTGTGTTCGAATCGAAATAAAGCAGCTCTGGAACAATAACACATTTATTTGGTTAGTACTTATAGTTTTGAGATACCTAAAGGCAAGCAAGCGGCATAACTGACGTAACCTTCTTCGGCATGGGGGGTTTGCACGTAGAGCCAGTGTTGGTTCTTGAAAACTGCGTTGACCACCATACCCAAGGGTAGTGAGATTTCCGCTTGGTAGCCACCCACTCGGGTTTGGTAGAGGACGCTTGGAAACGCCAAGACTATCGGTATATTGGCCGGTTTTTCCAAAGTAGCCTAAAATATGAAGACGATAGCTTAACGGTGTTTGAAATATTTGGAAATAAATTACTGCTAAACACATCACACACCTCCATCGACTAGGAGTGATTTTGTGTTGTATTTCGTTTTGGATTTATATATACTTTTTTTTTTTTTGAAATTTGATAAGGTGGGTACAGAGTGTATAACAAACCGAAAACTGCCATTCTCTGGGAATATTCCCTGTAACTGAAATAATTGAATTAAAAGTAAATAAAGTTTGTTTTCTGCTGAAGTATAGCACACGTCTACGAGACCAAGCATCTAAGACAAGTTTGGTATAGTTATTTTATTATTGGGGGAGTTAAATTAATACAAATTCACCAATTAATTTCCTAGTTTTAAAACTGAAGAAATTTTATTGAAAGTGGTCATATTATGAAATTTAGGCGGTTTAGAAGATAATAAAAAAAAGGCTAATGTAGTTAGGCATGGATTAGCATCTACGGCAAAGCCCATTCTCTTATTTAAGCCCACTATTGCATACTCGTACCCACTAATGCGACTATAATGTCTTTTATATTAGCACGTTAGCAGTGTTTTATATTAGCATATTTCCGTGTGTGAATTGCGATTGAAATGAAATAAGTCATCAACGACATGTTTTTATCTACGCGTACCTTATACACTGGAATGTTTTTATTATTCGATAAGAAAATTTGCAAAAACGACGTAACTTGTTTGAAGTGCATATTTTAAAATATTTCCAAAGTCGTGATAACTTTAATTGCTCCAAAACAAGGCACTTATCCTCAGGTAACTTTAATAAGAACATCCCATGTTCTAATTCATTTTTGATCAAAACCTTCTAACTTCCAACACTACACACGCTACACTGTTTTTAGTGCGTGGCATAATTGTGCATGCGCTGTCTTAAACGTTGCTTTTTTTTATTTTAAACTGCATAGAGCTCCGCAATGCTCTATATTATGACCAATAATATACTGTATATATATGTCCGCATGTTTGTTTTATACAGCACTGCAAAACTCAAATGTATTCACATTCAACCCCGGGTGACAAAATCCGACAAACAAATTAGAAATACTAAGATGTATTTTTGGGATCAAGCTACTAGAGGTATAGAGCCTATAAATATAGAACCTCACGAAACAACTGTGTAAAAAAAATTAAAAACAAAGTCATAAAATATCTTTATAAATTAAAATTATTTTCAATTTTATTATTATTAAATATTTAAAACATTTTGTTAGTTTTTTTTCTTATTTATGTAGCCTGTAGTAAATTTTTAATTCACTTTAAATGACTTATTTAATTTCACCTTCGCATTAGACGAAACCGCATAACGTTTCTTCGTTGTAAAAATGTAACAATATTGTTGTATTATTATTATTAATTCTTTCTTTAACGACAAAATTCATACCCTTCTTTTCAGAAATAATTAATTCATCATTTAATTAAAAACGATTTTTTTCTAATACTTGTAGCTCTCATACCAAAGTAAATATGAACTAATTATTTAGCTTAATAATAGTTGATGAGTAAAAACGCTTACATTCAAAAAATTTTGGTTCTTCCTTTATACTGGTGCTATTTTGAAACGGTCTTTTGTCTCTTTTTACTTGCGAACTCGCGTCGTATATCAAATGTAATTGTACCATTACAACAGAAAATTGCTGTTGCTGAAAATTGTTTTAGTTTACGAGCTGACCGAGGCATGATTAAACATAATTACTATTTTATAGCATCAATTGATTACATGCTATAACATGCTTAGTTTATTACTATAATCGCGTTCGTCGGGCAAGGGTGTATCATTATGGGAAGATTCCATGTCCCAGATTTACGAGGGGATATGGAAGAGTTCCGGAATTATTAAAGCACCTAATGTTAAAGTTATACGCAAAAAATGTTGTCCATATTAAGTCAAGATCATACAAAATTTACAATAATTTACATTTTTCATTCGATGTTTTGACGTCTTTCGACCACAAAATTTTAAAATTTTGTTTACCTTACACTTGAAAAATCAACTATTTGATGCTAATGAACGTTGTTCAATATCTATAGTCTGATACACTTTTACCCTTTTTAAACTTTTGGTTACAAATGAATTAGTTATTTACGAGGTAATTTAACTTTATCTCGAAATCGGTACAAATATCTAAACAAGTGATAACTAGAAAGTATAGGCGTCTTGCAAAAATGTCAAAAGTGTTATTGTAACACTCTCAGTACCTTCGGATATTGTGTTTTTGAGAAAACAAAAGTTTTGGCATCCTCTATCTCTGCAATGAAGTTCCCATTGATTGATAATGTTATATAAGATTTTAATCTTAAAAATTGTCTTTGTCTTTAAGTAGATATGTGTAATAATAATAAATGAGAGCTTTACCGAAGACATTATCAAAAAAACAAAAAGATTTTTCTAATTTACAAACACATAGGTGATACAACTAATCCTGAAAACTGCAAGCCACTATTTTTACAATGTAAGATATTTAAATCTTGTCACAACTCACGTTTAAATAAATATTGAGAAAAATTTCAGTTACTCAAAAAATCAGTATAGGTTAATGAATGAATAAATCAATTAATCCTGCTCTAGATCGGGCTATTACTCCATCTATTCTATAAACAGAAAACATATTTTTATGTTGTTTTTTGGCTAAGTTAATTGAGTTCAGCGTTTGATAGTATCGATCACGGCTTACGAAATAAAGAAGATAGATCGGCATAGGCTTGCACTACCACTGTTTAACAGGAGACTAAACTTACATTTGGTATTACTATGCTACTATACATTAGATGAATTATTAAGCGACGATTCACCTCTGTAATATATGATTGCCATGTTTATAATTGTAATATCAAATTTTAATTTCTCTGTTCATACAATATTTATTTTTCAATATTTTCAATATACGTGTTAATACAATATTTATTTTGTGAATGCCTATAGTTTATATACACAGAAGGTCTCGGAAGTAATGGTACATGGCAAAATAGAATATTTTTTAGATAAAAATATTACGATTTCACGAAACTTACCTTGAAATGTTCTTTGCACCTAACTGAACAGTTTCTAGTGAACATGCAAAATAGTTCAAAGAAGGGTTTGGCTAACATGATCACAATAAAATACAGTAAAGTTCGTGCGAAGCAGGCTCTGACGAAAACAGACAAGATTTCAATTATATTGATTTTTGTGTTGGATGATATATGAAGTTCAGATGAATTATGGCATAAGATTAAAAATGCCGCTGAATCATTTCGAAACTAGGAAGCATTATTCAAAATGAGGCAGGTGAAATTTAAAAGGTAAAACTTCTTGTGTAAAATATGGATATCTTTATTTAAAAAAAGCACACTGTAAGGCGCAAAAAAAATCAAATTGACACATTGTATCTCGGTTAATATTAACTTTTGAACTAAGGTCAGATTCGTTAAATCACAACATTATTACCTATTTTGCCATGTATGTATGTATGGGACAATCGGTATATACGCCACAAACTTTATTGCAATATGTCGAACATATATACTGTACAATCTATATATTAAGAGGAGGACTGTAACATTCAAATACGAAATGAAAAGATGAATTGAATCGACTAAACTGGCTTCGCCTAGGTATTTGGCCGGTGACATAGATATACAAAAGCAATTTTAGATTAAACTCGTGAAAAAAATTATATTGAGTCGAATATGCATTTGTAAAGTATCGCTCATTAGTGAGATCCAGGGTATTACAGTATAGTTTTCGAAATTGTAATTTCTCTATAGCTCAAGATGAAATACTGACATGAAAATTTGGATTCGGGGTTTCTTTAGATGGCGAATAGGATTTTTTACATGATATAGTTACAAACTATAATCTCGCTATCCCGTGTCAGAATTTTTTTTGTTAGTTCCATTATTTTGACTATGATAGAACAAGGATTTCTAAGTAGATAAGATTTACTACATTTACATCAATAATACTAACCTCCATAAAAAATCCGCCACTAAAAAGTGCATCCAATTTCAAAAATGGTTTCCTCGCGAACCATTCGTTTGATTTTCTTTTTTGATTGATCCTTCAGAAACAATTCTACAAACTTTCAATCAGAATTTGGTTTGATCATATACGAGGTGCAAAAATGGTATATTCACATTCACATGGTACATATTTTTTTTTTATAAAATTTCTACATTCCTGCTGCGTCGGTTTTTGTTGAGTCGAGGTAGCTACCGTTTCGCCATTTATCATGTTGGCTTCTTTAGAGCTCTGTTCGACTCAACAAAAACGAACGCAGCAGGAATCCAGAAGTTTTATAAAAAATATAACAGTAGCATGTAGACGTTATTTTTGAAAAGAGAATCACATGGTACACAACATTTTATTAACGCAAAATTTCCGTTACTTGATTATACGTAATGCCTAGGCATATTAATCGCTTAAAGTTACATTTTATTTCGTTTTACAATACAAAGATCTTTTATTTGGATTATTGAATATCAACGCTAATGTCAATGTGAATGTCTTTCTAATCCATAGCTTACCAATTCTTAACGAACTGTTTTTAAGCCACCGATTTGTAGTGGAATAAAATATTAGATACAATGCAAATATCTCAAAAACGATGTGTCTTGTCGATAATGTAGAGTATATACATTACTCGTAAGCTTAATCCTCATCTTCAAAAACCCCCGAATCTAAATTTCATGCCGACATCTCCAAAACAACTCGTGCTATAGAGAGGTAAACAAAATGTTTACACTTTGCATCTTATTAATGAGCTACATTTTACTAATGCTTATTGACTCCATATCGAATATATGTTAGTAAAATGTCGCTTATTGAGAAACAAGATAACTCGTTGTTGCACCCCATATATGCTCAATTAAAATTCTTAACAAAAGTTCGTGACAGCATCGTTGACAACCGAGCAATCTACAATTCATAAAAAAAGATCATCAAAATCAAATGAACGTTCACGAGAAAACAAGTTTTTAAATTCGTTTAGTTAAAATAAAAATATATCAAAGGCTGCCTATTTTATCTGAATAAATCTACTATAGGTTTTTACCTTAGAAATCATCATTCTCTCATAATAATTCTACATATTATGTAAAAAAAATAGAAAATAGAATATTCGTATTCGACATCCCTTAAAAAAATAGTTGAGCCATAGAAAAATAACAATTTCGAGAACCATACTTTAACATCCTGCATTTCACTAACTAGCGATTTATTTTAATCAGTTTAATCATGAACCACCCTGTATAGTTATATATTTAGTAGAAACGCGCCTTTACAGGTGCCCCCCTGCCTTTTTCGACCTGTGCCGGTTTGGCCCGTCCAATCCGACTCGTCACCTTTTGAACTTTTGGCGTCGTGGAATTCGCATATATATGCACAAGTATACCACCACGATATAATTTAGATTAATAAATCGATAAGGTGCCCCGTAATCCTTTGAGCGGCCGTATAATCATCGCTCGTGGGTGGGATCGACAGACGGTTGAACAGACAGATGTTCCATGGGGAACCTGTCATTAGCGCGAGTTAACAGCTTATTATTTTCTTCCTCTGAGAACGTATTCGAAACGCAGTGACGCTCGTCCCACTTTGGAAGGCTTAAATCACGACCGACCATTAGTTTGGGGCCCAAGCCAGAAATGTTTGTTAAAGTCTGTTTCTAAATGGCGTGGAGGATTCCGTCCAGTACTACCAAATTTAAGGATCGCCTCTAGACCTATGTAGAAAATTAATGAACCTAGATAAACCATAAATATAGTGCCAAGCGGCGAATACATAATCCACATTCCAATGATAAGAACCTGTAATTCTCCCTTATCGAAGTTTTACAATACAAGAGAATGTTGACGAATGCTTCAGAATATCCAGAATTGGGTATTTAAATTATTGCAGAACAGAAAGACAGCAATTCAATGGAACCCTCTTTAAAAAAGTTCAGAAAAAATGACACAAATTATTCGTTTTGAGGAAAAGTAAACTCTTTCCATTTGAAAAAGAAAATGAAGGATACGAATTTTTACTTTCTAGTTTCACTTGAGAATATTGAAATTGTTTATTGGCAAAAAATGCTTGACCAGAAGTTTCATGGAGGCTGGTCTACATCGGCATTGCGTGGGAAAAACTGTACATTTGCGACTTACTCAGCTCTGTAAGTTGAAGGAAAAGTCAGCCCCATGTTACAGATACAACCCTGAGAATATCCTGGAAAATAACAGTGTTAAACTATATTCGGATAGGACAGTCATTAAGGAAGAGGACAATAACAAGAAACCGGTCACATATCATAGTAATAGGTAAAAGCCATAAAAATACCTATTATTGCTATTCCCAAAACGAATAATATCCAGCAAACAAAACAGAAAAAAACTGGCAAAGTATACTGCTTTGGCCTTCGAAATGGAACAATAATAGTTAGCGATGTCGGCTAAGATTGTACCTCGCTGCCAAAACTGGGTGATTCTGAAAGTTTAGTAGCAGATATGCAAAAATCGCCAATCCTTGGTTCTCATCTTGCTACGCCAAAGACCAAAAAACATAATAGTAATAATAATGGTAACAGTTAGAATAAAAATATCAAGACAATCGTCACCTTAACTTTTGCAAGTGCTTCAAGCAACATAAAGATTGCTAATTGATAAGTTTCTGGTTATTACTACTAACTAATAGTATCTTCATAGTTACCTTGGCTAAAAACGCATCGACATCTTGAATTTCGTAACCAAACTGTTGCACTTTTTCTTTCCAATTATTTTTCGACTTCGCCGTCTTTTTCTTTTGTCGGTTCCTGGTGCGCACTTTGTCGACCGCTAAAGTCGGCTCACTTTTTGTCCTCATTGGAAGGTATTGTTTAGCCACGTTTCTTTGGTCCGGTTTACTGTCTTTAGTTTCGTTTGTGTTTTTCACTTGGACACAAGCTAATAAAAAACGAAAAAACTTTTACATTTACCAGTTAAATATTATATTATTGATTACTTATTCTATCTATATTCTATTCTTATCATTTCAATAATGCCGATTGCCTTTCTACCTCGCACAAAAATTTAGCTGATGACAATTTCGTAAAATTTGGAGAGAAACAATCTTTTATATCTACTAACTTTGTTGTTCTATTTTTTGTTTGCTTTTGTATTATTTTTTTTTTAAATATGACTAATCAAAAGCAAAGCATCTCAAGCAAACTTTTTTCGTTTGAATCCGTTAATTACGGCGGTGAACAGTTAGTTATTAGCTCGTTAGGAGCATAACCCAACAAACGACATGTCGAGAGAAACATCGTCCTTAATGAGAAATGACACAAAAAATATTTTCTGGGACTCCTTTGAAATGAATGAAAACTTCTAGTAAATTTTTTTGTAGCTTTTTAGTATCAGAAATAGAGGCCTTTAATTTCTAATAAAAAAGTAAAGAAAAAAAAGTCAAAGTGCACATGTGTATAGCTCTCATAATACAATACGGGCGCTGTACAGTGCCAGACCCTTTTGGTGCTGGTGGATTAAGTAATACTAAAAGATATCTGCAATAAGAAAAGCAGAAAATGTATTACACTAATCTTTGGTTCATGACATTTTATAAAAACAGCCAATAACAGGCTCATATTGGGTTTACCAAAATAAAAACCTTTACTCGAGACTTCCAAAAATTTTTCAAAGAAACTTCCACAGGCTACTATAACATTATTTGCATCTCTTCTTGATTCTTTGATGCATTGATTGTTGATAAATCGAACACGCAGACGTTGGTTTCTTCAGAGCTTAAATGAAACTGAAACGTCAGCAGGTTCAATTTAGCAACCACCGTCGCAGGAAGAATCGAGGCGATTTGTGAATAGTAATTCCAAAAATGTCGCCAACCGGTAAAAAGATTGAAATGTCTTTGCTAACGCACTTAACACACCTCCAAAATTACCTACTTTTCAAATTATTTATCGTTTGAATCTTGATAACTGGTGGTAACTTTTCGTTCTGTTGGTTCTTGTCGACTGTTTTCCGTGTCGTTTTATACTGAAACTTGATAGGCTGCTCCGGTCGGGGATTGTGTGTAGTACGGTACTCTTTCGGGAATAGGAATCGTAGTTTGTCTTGCAAAAATCGGCCACCCGCTTGATGGGATGGCTTTTGACCCATGTCATTTATGGCACTTTGAAGAACTGCACCTTCTTAGATATCCGGGAGCAAATCGTGCAGGATTCTGTGGCGATGACATCGTATAACTACAAAAAATCAGAATTGGTTAGAGTATAAATGAAATATCCCGAGGAGTTCGCACTCATTTAAAGGAAGCGAATTCTTCAAAGTTTTGCGTGTTTCCTATCGAAGTACATACTAAATTTAAAACTCTATATAGTTACTAGATATAGAGAGGCCTTGCCCATGCCAAACTTTTGAAGCCAACATTAAAAAATGTTTAGAAACGACATCGACGTCATTTCAAACCCCACTTTCAACCAAAAACATTTTTATTATGTGAAAATATGCTCAGATTCCTTTAAATTATCATGAAAAAAGCAAAGAAAATGGCGCAAAGTGTCTCATAAATTTCAACGCTTTTCTTGTTATTTAGATAATTCTAAATTGAATTTTCCAGTTTTAATTTCATGTTTAAATTAAACCGAATTTTGGCCGTTTTCCTTGTTCATGTTCTTTAATGATAATTCATGATTGAATAGAGATTTAACGGTTCGGAAAAAAACGGAAAATTTGCAAAAAAAACACGGGTTTTTTCCGTTTTTTTCCCAAACCTCGGAAAAATTGGAAAAAACGGAAAATTTGACTTTTTTTAAATTAAATGCCAGACAGCTAAACGAGTTAATATATTATGATATAAATGTATATTGGTTAGTATAAGTTGCTTCAATAAAAAAAAAAACAAAAATTAAGTTGCCTACTTTATTTCAAAATAATAGAAAAAATAAAATAAGAACTCTTTGGTAACAAAACATAAACTCCAGAATACATAATAAACAAAAAAAAATTGTATACAAAAAAAACAAGAACTGACAACGCACGCAAAATGCAAGTAAAAAAACGTCATTTCTGCAAAGCCAGTACACTTAAAGGAGTTTCATCGTCAAGGTCCAAGTCTTCGGAGAAAGAATCTGGTTCTGATTCCGCAGCATCGCCGTCCTGGATATTCCCAATTAATTCGATATCCATTTCAGCCCGCTGTAAAAGCGGAACTGGCCCAGAATCGTAGGCAAATATGTCATTTTCTGATTTTTCTGAATTGCAACAAGTTTTTGTACCTTACCTTATCTTGTCTATTTCTTTTTTTAGTATGAATAACACCATGCAAAGACCAGTTTCTTTCTGACGAAGCGGACGATGGAGGTCCATTTAAAATTCTGGAAGCAATTGGCATAAGTGGCTGCGAGGTGCACAACCCCTGATACCATATAACTGGATCGATACTGCTCGCAGATTTCTATAGAGAATTCCTACTAAAAAATCCTGTTTCAGTTCTGAAGTGGCCTAAATTTGCCATTACTTCTCCTGTATTTAAACTGACATTTGCGAAATAAAATCAATTGCCAATATCAAATCAAGAAGATTTGCTGCAAAATGAATAGGTTAACAACAAAATTCGAAGCGCTCTTTTACACATTTTAATAGATTTTCTCTAGTCAGGCAGGACAAGCCATAGGTATTTGCGGGAATACCATATATTGCATCTTCTATCAACTTAAAAACAAAAGGCACTTCTGATAATATGGATTTATCGGACTCAATAAGATTTGTTTCGCGGAAATGTGTAGGGGATTCACCGGTAAACAAGTTGTCAGTGTTGTTACACTGCACTTATTTTTTAAAATATGTTTGAAAATAATTGTATTGAATAATATTTAACACGTAAACCTCCCTGGATATTAAAATGCTTTTGGATTTCGTTTCCAATAAAAATCCAATTTTTCCCAAATTATCCGTTTTTTCCAAATTTTCCGGGGAAAAACAGGTTTTTTTTGCGACAACCAATTTTTCCGGAAATTTTGAATCACTATGATTGAATGATAACAACAAAACTGTTGAAAATAGGGAAAGGTATGGTCAATGAATCCATGCCACAAGATAAAATACAGTGCGTCATATTTTATAAAGTAACATTCCAATTGTGGTTGATCATCAAATTTTGGACACTGTTAATGCAATAAATCAATTTATTGGTCCAGCGCTGAATATCCAAGAGCATCAAAAGAAATTTTGTCAACATCTAGACTAACTATAAAGAACCGTACAAAATGATATATTTTGTTGGTAGACACCCTGTCAGTGGTAAATCAATTCTCGATATCTATTTGTGTTTCCGTTTACTACTAGCAGTCAAAAATGTGTTAATTGTCCAGTAATTAATTGCTATGGATAAATAAAAGGATATCGCAACAGTGAGGTACCCTGTATATGTAATGGGAGAGAATCCCCAAGCATACGTGAGAGAGTACTCACTGGACAAGATATTACCACCGCATTCTGAGAAAACCATCAGATATGATGCCTTACACCTCAGTAAGAGACCTTCTCCATGAAGTCAACCTGCGAAGCAGGGATGAATCGGCTCAGTATAAGACGAACCTTATAGGGGCAGGACATCATTGGTATACTGACGGTTCCAAAACGTATAAAGGTGTTTGGTTTGGCACTTATGCCGTAATAAGGTAACACTGACATGGATATAACATTACAAATCTTCATATCTTTGGGACAAATATGATTCAATAATTGCAGACGAATAATCAGTGAACCCACAATAATAACATAAACCACAATAAAACTTTTTCGTGATAGCAAAGTGAAAACTAACACTATTTGTAAAATAGAGTCTCGCCACATGGAGCTTGTTCTACCTTTAAGTTTGGTAATACAAATATACGTTTAGTGAAGTCTATAAGCGATTAGAAATACTATTAATCCTCAGACATTAAGTAAGTTAAACGGCGCTCAAATGCAGATATATTAGTACTAGCAAAGGCGTGCACAAAGTCAGTTATAAACAAAAGTGCCGTGGTCTTAACCGCGCTGCCACGCCGTAACAGTACCCGAACGTTATTTATTTATAACAATTATAGAGTATGGAGAGTATAAAACTGCAAAACATTTCGCGCCCGGTAGGATTAAATACGTATCAGGGCAATTAGATGAATATACCATAAATATCGTAAACGTATCATAAAATTTAAGTAGATTAGAACGAGATTCCGCGAGATGACTTTTCCGTTCTTTTTCATATTAATCGCACGTTTTACCTGAAAGTATATACGTTAATGTGTTATCACGGCATTTTTCTGAACCGTTACGCTTTTGATTGGTCGGTAATTTAAGCTTTCCCGGTGAAAATAAAAACACTGCGACGACACTTAAGTAATGATCATCGGAACAAAGTTTTATGACTACGTGTGTAAACAGCCCATAAAAGCTCACACAGAGTGTCTCGTTAATAGTTACGCAGTGAAGCAGTTTCGGGAGGCAAAATCGATGTTGATCGATTTCTGCTGAGTGTGAAAGGGAAAAATTCTTTATTACGTAAATTTGGAAATTTACGGGCTTTGATAGAAGACATATTAAATGTTCTGACCGTGTTCAATTCTTAGAGTTGCATTTGCATCTTCAACTCGCATAGAATTTTGATATTGTATCTCTTCTTTAGCGACTCTCCCTCAACAGTTTTCTGATATGGAAACTTAGGTAACTCACTAATTTTTGTTTCCGACTATTTTACTTATGCTCATTCACACCCTTAAAGCTTGTGTTTATGTTAACAGAAATATACAAATATTAAATGCAAGCAATGTTATGGATCGCAATTATTACTTAAAGAATGATGCTTTAAAAGAATTAACACTAATTAGCTTTTTGAAAAAACAAAGACATACCATTATAGTATTTGTGTATGCTTGTATCTGCATGTAATTTAAAAAATCCTAATTCAGAAAATCTGGACCAGTTAAGAACAGAAAAAAAACGTTTTGGTTTTTTATCTAAGAAAATCAGTTTTATTTGTACAGGTTTCATAATTTTTAGCTATCAGAAATTTCATTTACGCATATAAACTCCGCAGGTTAAGGACAATATCCAATATATAAGATTTTGACATGTTAGCATTGTTAGTTGTTTGGTAAGGTGGTAAGACTTTGAAACGTAAAATCAGTTTTATCAACAAAAAAGTAAAATTGAGGTAACAGGTTTAAATTACTGCATTTTTTTTAGCAAATTCGCTTCTGATATATTGAGATACTGAACAAAAACGTATTTATATCAATAATGCTTCAAAGTCTTATTGAAACTTGTATATTGAAGTCATAAGTTCCTATAGTATTAATTTATGCCAAATGTTATGCTAATTTATATTAAATTTAAATAAAAAAAAATAAAATTAAATAAATTTATAAAAAATAAACTTAGTTTGTTTACTTAATAAACATGTCTCAGAAAACACCTTTCAGAAGATACTGTACAAGGAACTCCATAAAATATTTTTTTTTGTAATTTCTGAAACTTTTTAAGATATAAATAAAAAAATATTATTTATGATATCAAAATAAAATAATACAAAATAAGTGTACTTCCTCTTTAGCGGCGCTCCTGTACAAAATAGTAAAACTTTCTCAGCAGTACACAGCGATACATCTGAAATATTCCGTATGCCTGGTGATATATACTTCTATTCCCATTATATCTCAATACACCTCTTCTATACCTCCATGTATCTCTCCTAATATATATGTCAGGCTTGCAGAGTGGTACAAATGTACCGAGAGAAAGAAATAATAAAAAGTGTCAAAAACTCTACGACTTAGTTTTCTGATTACGGGCTTATGCAGTTTCGTGAAATGCGGTCCTGTATTTTGCTTCTTTTTTCACGCCCATGTACCATCTAGTTCGAGCATCGGTTGACATTTTATTGTTAGGCATCGCTATAAGCGGCTCACTCAAACAAATTGACAAGCATTTATTGTCCATAGATGGAAAGCGAGCCGATGCAATAATGTCTCATTTATATGCTTCATAAGGCCATCAACGAGTTAATGACTCGGTTAGTTGGAGAATATTCTAACGACTGTAGCATACTTCCGCGCGCTGTCTTTACACAAATACTTCTATTAAATTATTTTAACATCGATCGGCGTGAAACAAGCTTATAAACAGCTTTTTGAATAGAAAACGAAAGAACAAATTTTAGAGGAATGTAAAAGGAAAGTTTAAACGATTCCGTAAAATGATTAATTAGTTGAATATTACCACCTCCTTATTAAGCAAGTATTTAAAACTCTACGCACTGTTATGTCCGCATTCGAAGCGTGGGTCTACTAAACTAACCGTGTGTTGAGTTTTAAGTCAACAACAATAGAAAATAACAAATAGTATGATACTTAGAGATTATAGGAGGGCAAGAAGATATATTGAAAATGCGTGACACAATATTAAAAAAAAAACAGTTTAAAGAAGAAACGATAACTTATAGAACCGAAAGTTGAAACAAGTGATTCGAACTTCGCGCTCTGGGCTGATATCCATAAAACGAAAAACACAAATGCAAATTTGGTTGTTGTGGAGCAAAAGACACTGGTTAATTAGTTAGATTATATTTTCTCGTATATAGAACATGTTTTTTAAACCACTTTTATATAAACAGTTTTTCTCGATCTCTGGTGTTTTATCGGCCGAAAAGTTTGCTTTTTCTCGACTGGGATCAGAATGACGGTGCTTTTTTGAATTTTAACACATTCCTAATAACTTTCGACCATAGAAATCCATTAAAAACGGTCCATTTTTAAATAAATAATTTAAATAATATAAGCCAAAAAGATATATTTTAGTAATATAATACCCATAAAATTCACTGCTGATACTTCTATGGGTCACATCGAAAAAACCCTATTAAATCGGTTTAATTTCCTATTATGTTTATTCCGAAAATTAATTAACAACAATCGGGAGCCATAAAACGTCAAATTTACCCAGCATCAGCGCGTTTCTTAACGGTATTTCCTTAAGTTGTAGTCGCCGATTTAAAACGATGTCGTTAAAAAAAGTCATTTAGATTTTTGACCACCCAATCATAAAAATTTACAGTAATAATGCGTGGAATGGACAAAAATATCGCCAATTAGCTATCCGGAATTTAATTTAAAAGATATAGAAAACGTTTTTAAAATAAACGGAATCAACGGATACGTTCATTATCATTTTAAACTTTTATTGGTTTCGTTTATTTTGAATTAGTACAATCTTTACTCAATAGTACAACAACGAAATAATTTGCAGCGTTTTTTTTCCTGAAATCCTTGGACAAATGCTTTTCTGAAGATCCTGTATATTTTTGGGCAAATTTTGGAAATGTAGGCCCTGATAGTTCATGAGTTTCGTTTAAGTAATGATAGAAACCCAAAAATTCAAAATCAAATTTATCGATGTTGGTCCACATAAGGATCAATAAAAATTTCGAAAACAGGCTATGAATAGTATATTATACCTCAGTGACTAAAATATACATAGATTTGGATATTTAAAATTTTTGAGCCTCCACCATTAGTCAACAACAGAATAGAACCTTTTAATCGGCTTTTAAGTGAGAAAATCATATCAACGATCATTTGGTATGTCGGGTGAAAAACAATTTTAGACTATCATTTTTAAACTATTCCATATATTGATTTGAAATCCAAAACACCTAATTTATGGGCTATTTAATTATGAATTGACAACAAGCAATTTCCAAAATATAAAAAATTAATTATTTTAGTAATTATAACAATATAAGAAGAACATAAAATACTCCAATACAATTACGTTATGTATAAGTGAAAAAAAATTGATCGTCCAGTAAAAATAGTGATATAACACCATCCGTGGGTTAAATCTAACGAAAACATTTACTCCCAAATCGTAACCAAAGAAGCGGAAACATCTGAAGTGACTCGTGACAGTAGATAACGAAGTTGACTGTTCACTGCAGCAGCAGCATATAAAGGATTAGTGTTTTTATACAATATAGTTGAAATTAATTAAAAATCGTAAAAATTTCAGTTTAAAAAAACGGCGTCGACAAACCATGGGGACTGCAGATATAGTTGGAAAATTAAAACATGTCCGGTTGTTTCTTCTACTGCTTCAACAAAATGCATGTTAGATAAAAAGCTATTATAAATAGCTGTTAATGTTTTATATTTGCAAATTTTTTATATAAACTTTATTTATATGAAACATTGATAAAGATGCGTCGCTATTTTAATCTAATTTGTTTATAAATTGAATGGTTTTACTTCGAATTTTTTTTGGATATAAGAAATTATTTTATCCTAATTTCTACAATTTTCGTTTTTTTTGCCTTATTTGATTTTTAACATTTTGCCGAAGGGACAATTTCAACTCGAATTCATGCTTCACGTATCTATAAACAAATAAAGCTTTCTTTAATGTATGGTAATTTTCCTAATACATGAAAAATTAAAAAGAAACAAAAAGAATTGCCAACTGTACCATACTGAATAGATAAGTGCAAAAAATATAGGGTGAGTTCAAATTGTTACACCAAACTATTAAAAACTTGTTAAGTATTCTCGTTTGTCTTCGCTTTATCAACTTAGAACGCTCGCGTAATTTCTTTCCGGCCTTACTCACCCATCGTGGCGCTGTTCGCGAAAATCGCCGACACCCCGTAAAAAGCGCGCGAAAGAAAAAATCAACCCGAAAAACTAACGTTTACGGAAAAAATGGTACGACGTTATTGCGGCACACATGCATATTTATGGCACGTTGTGGGCAACCAGCTTGGATCGCCGCCACATCGTGACTGAGAGCCGCAACGGCCCAGAAGATTCCCACAGAAGAAGCGAAGTCGCAGGATCATACCGAAGATATTGGAAGATTGTCCGTATCAATGGGCCACGGATCGCTACCAAGCGTCAATAGAATTTTCAACACTGAATAAACTAAGTTGGACACATAATTTCGCCAGCTTATTTATTCAATTTTCAAGTTCTCATTTTGATCATTTTTTACTTTTTTATTATTATATTATTGCTCTTTTGTATGTAAACAACTTATTCTTGGACGTTTACATATTTCATCAATACAGCAGCCTTACGTTAAAGACAAAGCTAAAAATAAGACCTGTTCAGTACGCCATAATTTGAAAAATGTATCTTAAATCGAAATCGTTTTGGCTACTGTTCGTAATTAATTAAATACTCTTTACCATTAAAAAACGCATATACTTGAGTTCCTGGGATAAATATCACCCGGTACAAGATACGAACTGCCGAGACTCATATTGTAGGTTGACGAAGTGTAGGGCGCCGAAGAATCCTTTGGTTACGCGATCTTCGATTCGGTTTGGCTATCGTCAATTGAATTATTTAGATCACCATTATCAAAAGTGAAGGTGGCCATGATGATCAGCCACCTCCAAAGGAGAAGCTGATATAAGAAGAAGAAGCTACTTACTGAAATTGAATTCGGTATATCCTCTATATAGGGAACACAAAATTTAAATGCAACGCAAAAACCGATTTGCACTTTATTTCTGGAAACTGACAAAGTTACTTCAACGTCAATGGTAAGGTGTCATCAACAACAAGTTACTCTAAATAACTAACTAACTCCAAATCTCGCTATTAACATTGAATAAATATAATAAATAATTGTGGAATAATTGTATTCATCAACTCGTTATTACTTCCAGTTCGATAAAAGTGCCTTATATTATTCTCTGGAATACAATGCGTCTGTCTTTCAAAAGAATGGAAAAATATTGTGTTATTTTAAAAGTCTCTTGGATGGTAACGGAAAAACATAAACCATGTGTTCTTATAGAGAGTGCTATTTTATTGACCGAATTACAGATTCTTTTGTTAGAACCATTCAATTGGTTTCATTGTATTGAAACGATTGTTACAGCCATAGTACAGCGGCCAGCCAGAAGCCGGCATGCACTCTATCGAACATTCGTCCGATAAATAATATAATCTAATTCTACGTCTATTATCTTAAAAGGTCAGCTTCGTTAATTACGATCGCCAGCAACTTCGGACGTTTTCCGTACTTTAGTCACAGCTTTGGAAACGATCGGATGTTTTCCGTAGATTTTAGCAACGAATGCTAGTTTGATATCTGTCATTTCTACTGGTTACGTTACATATCACTCAGTGTATTCGGACAAAAATGTACCCCAAAAACTAATGGTCATAGAAAAAGTATAGTACGCAACACATCGATAAAGTTTTTCAGCCGCTCGGATGGTACTGAATCAAACTCGTGACTGAAATGGAATTTATCAGACTTGTTGCATAATATCTCAGATGTCGGCCAATCAGATTTTCTGAATTTTCACATGCGTATAGCCTTTGTTCGACTTGGTAGAAATTTTTTTCAATTTCAAATTTTCAGTAAATAAGATATTTGACAGTGATCGTCGGAAAAATAGTATATTGTGGAGAAAGTTTTGAAGAAGACTCTTTACACGCAAGGGTAAGCGGTGTCAATCAGAGAGTCTGTTTCTAGCGTAGCACAAGATGCTTTTTCTGCAGCTACACAAAATTAAAATTTTATTTTAATCTCTCGCTTTCACTTTGACTATGAAATTTAATAAAGTCCCTTTTGACAACTGTACCATGTGAAATTAGCGATTTTCATATATTGTTGCGTATTTTCAGACCCTTTTCATAGTAATCGTAGAAAAATCATTTTTAAATTAGCGCAAATCAATTATATTGACTTGATGGATCCAGACTCTCGCTTCCACACCAATTCCAAAATAAAAAGTGTTCACAGTCACTGCTACTAGGTATAATCTACATTCTATATACTGGTAAATAGACACAGCAAAATTTCTTTTGTTTCTTCTTGTTTATCATACATACCATATTAACTGCGAGTACTTGCAGAGGTTATAGAGGTTATGAAAAATATCGTGCCGGAGAAGTGATTAGTGATTAGAATTAGATCGTAGAGATAAGAGGGTACCTGAATATTTACGGACTGTCATTTAAAGAATATTTTCGTAACAGTGAAAACGCCAGAAGTATATTCGTCGATTTTTTGATAACTCGCGCTGTTTGTTAAGCTTATCTGCTATTTGAACGCGTTTTTGTGAGTTTGAAGGAGAGGAGCCGATCGTTTGCTAACGCGTGATGCTTAAAAGCAGAGACACAGACGTCACTAGATACTTTTACTGAGTACTTATATTTCAAGCACTACCCTTCTTTGTGATGTAATTATAATCAACCAACGAAGTTGCAAAACTTACTAAAAATATAATTATATTGCTATAAGTATAAAATTATTGAATAATGGTTGTCCACTTCCTTACTTTAAAATACTTAATTGCACTGATCAAACATGCGCAAATTGTAACTTTACTTCATTAACCACTGTGGCGAGCCTTTCCGACGTTTCAGGTACTTTGGCGAAATTTTATACACCACTTTTCTAACAGGAAACCGAAAGTCGCTTTTTAAAAAAACTTTATTTTTCAAAACTACAAAATTAATTGTTTACCGCAAGAGCGTATTCAACTGACTAACCAACAAATAAGCGCAACAACAGTTTTATATGATTAAAAGCTGACGCGGCAAAATCTGGCTGAGCATCTTCTTCCTATGGGTGTAGGGATGAGTCGTGACATAATTCCTCCCTCCTTAGATTCAACTTCAAGGGTTAGCGTGGAAGTTGAACATTGGCTAGCTCGATAACTGGTTCTGGTCTTCTTTCGGCTTTTTTGATATTCCTAATGTTGAGGAACTTCTTATAGCAAGCGTAGCAGCAGGCGATAATTATTATCCCGTAAATCGATAAGGTCCATAAGTTTGGAGACTCGACGAAAGGACTTATAGCGGAGATTTCTGGTTGTTTCTGCAGGATTTGGGCCCTTATTGTATGCAGCTCGTCCAACTTGACGTCGTGGAGCTCGATGTTAACATCTGGCTGAACTGGTAATTGGTTAATGACATCACCAAATTTGGATAGAAGTATCGACTGGCTAGTACTGGTTGATTTTTCGCTTACGAATACTCCTTGGCTAGACGATACCTTACAGTCGATTGGTACGTCAAACAAATATGTACCAGTCAGGATGAGAGTCTCTTCTTTATAATTGCAGACCAACTTGATTTCTTCTTTGCGAGGGAAGATACCAATAAACTGATTGGAACCTTCCATACGTTGGAATTTTGGCTTAGTGACTGTAATTTGAGTTTGTTGACATGTAGAGGTGTTACCAGCTTCAAGTAGCTGAACTTCGCAGGGATTATTTCTAGCGATTTCTTGTAGGTTGGCTTCTCCGCAGATATAATATTGTGGTAGAATCTTTTTGCAGGGGTCGCTTTTAAATGTGTAGTGCAATTTGGTTTTTAACAAGAATTTATTTCGCGGAACTATCGCTTTAAACTGACTCCCATTAAAAATAGGTATTGAATACAGATGAAAATAATCAAAAATGTCGATTTGAGTAGTCGGGACCTTTAAAATATATGTTATTTTCTTATGGTTAATGTAACATTCGATATCGATTAAATTTTGAAATTTAAGGATATTTTCCGGAGTTACTGTTAATGGAAACTGTCTTTTATTTAAGTACTTTTCTACTCTAAGGAGTTCTTCAAATAGATCGCTTGCTTTTATTATACTTGGATGTACTGTATTTAGCCTTGCAAAAGAGATTGAATTTTCAATGTCCTGTAACACTGAGTATATTATTTCATAAAGGCTTATTAATTGATTCAAGTAATCTACGATAAAGAGTGAATGACCTTCTGTACCCTTAATAAAAATTATTATTTCATTAATTTTATTTTCTAAGATTTTTTCGTTAGTAGCTATTTTGCGAATTGTTGTGTTAAATTGTGTTATCAAATTAATAGAAACCGAGTTTTGCTGAGCTATGCTATTTGCCAATTTTTCTTGATTCTGCTCAAGGATTTTAATAATGGCGTCATAACGTTCGCCGTCAGAAGAATCTAAATTGCCACTAATTGATTTAAATATTGAACCTAGACCGTTAATCAAACCTCTTTTGGACCTTTGAATATCGGGAACTAGTTCTTTTAATTTTATTTCTACTTTTTCTTTTATTAGAAAAAGGAGTTTAAAATGATTAATACTTGCATTTTTATATTCAGGATTGGATTCTATAGTTTTCGCTAAAATGGTTGACTTAATTTTTAACTTATCTACTTCTAAAACTATTTGATTAAGATCGTAATAATATATTAAATTAAAAGCCGAATCTTGAATTTTTGCAGACCCTAGTTTCAAAAGAATCATGCCGGGGTTCGTATTCAAGTTTCTTACTGCAATGTGGCTGCTTTCTTGGAAGCACGTGACAATTGCTGGGAATCTAAAATAATAAAGTATTTAATTACTAAAGGTGTAATTTTTCTTTCTGGGACGTTTTAAGTTATTCATATGAATCTTTTCTTCCGTTCCCGTGGAAACTGTTTTATGAGCGGAATCTAATTTAGTGATGACAGTAGGTTTTTGAAATTCGTTCGCAGTTTTTTGTCTTATGTGTTTTTTCACATACACCATTTGCTGTGGTTGAAATATTTCAGGATTGTCGCGATTTTTATTCAAGTTTTCTATTACAATTTCTTTATTTTGGATTATTTTTTTGTTTAAATTTGAATACAAAATTTTGGTCCTTTCTTTATGGTCATCGACATAATTATTAATCAATATTTGATCAATATTAATATCGAAGGGACTATCGTCGGAGATATGCCCGTTAATTATGTCAATTGGCTTAAGTTTTGTTACTGAATGTATGGAGTGGT